CAAGCTGAACTGAAGCCAGGAGCCAGGACCCTTTTCTAGGTCTCGAGGCACTGGGCCATTCTCCACTGCTTTCCCAGGCCATAAGCAGGGTGCTGGATGGAAAGCGGAGCAGCCAGGACACAAACTGGCATCCACATAGGATGCTGGTGCCTGGAGGCAGAGAATTAAACACGTGAACCAATGCACTGTTCCTATCTCTGTTTCTTCATAGCAAGCACAACTTCTGTGATTTCATTTCCTTTTGTGAGCACGTGTTTTCTATAGCTTCTCACACTTGATTGTGCATATACAAGGGCAAGGAAAGGTCGTTGTACTTGTGGGTAGGTGGGAAGATTCTTACTTTTTGCTAGCCTGATGCAAGGAACAGGTGTTGATACCATCTTTTCCCTTCTTACTCCTCTCCGCTGAATATGAGCAGGCCATCTGGAGCTGTAACAATCAGCTTAGGACCAACAAGCACACAGCTACTGGCCAAAGCCAAGTTGCAAAGGATGACTGTGCCTGTGACCTGGTGGACTGCTCCCACTGCCCTACCGCTTATGACCAGGAACAAACATAATTTTGTATTTGTTGAAATCATTATTACTTTGGTTTGAATTCTGACAATGAAACTCATTCCTGTATCATATTACTCATAAAACCATGGTGATACCTTTGATTTTCTCTAGTGGAGGAAGATGGATATGTTAACAAATCTATGCCTTTGCAAAACACTTGCCTGTGGTAGTCTGTCATCTGGGGGTGAGGCAACGAACTACATCAGATCATTCCTTTTTGGATGCTGGTTTCTGGCAGAAGCCTTTGGCTGGATGGCTGATCCACTGAGACACAGCACGTAGGAGGTAGAGCTTATTTGTGAGGCATGACTAGTTCTGACTTGGCCATGTGGATTTGAGATTATTGGAAGACATGCAGGGAGAGTCCAGAGAGTGAGATACATAGATCTGCACTCAGGAGAGAAGGGCATAGTGGGGATGTGGAATGAGTGGGTATCCTCAGTGGCCCGGGACTGAAACCTAAGACGAGGAGTGTGCTTAGCCCTTTCATCATCATCATCACAGCTAACGTGTACTAAGTCCTATGGCCTATTAGCTCACTACCTCATTTATGCCATTTGATTCACCCAACCAAGAAAGAAAAGAACTATTCTGATTTTTAAAAACATTTATTTTTATTGTAAAGTCAGATTTACAGAGAGGAGAGATAGAAAGATCTTCTATCCACTGGTTCGCTCCCGAAATGGCTGCAAAGGCCAGAACTGAGCTGATCTGAAACTAGTAGCCAGGAGCTTCCTCTGGGTCCCCCACATACAGATGTAGCTCTAGGGCCTAGCAGCTAAAGTCCTTGCCTTAAATGTACCAGGATCCAATATGGGCACCGGTTCCAATCTCAGCAGCTCCACTTTCCATTCAGCTCCCTGCTTGTGGTCTGGGAAAGCAGTTGAGGAAGGCCCAAATCCTTGGGTTCCTGTACCCATGTGGGAGACCTGGAGGAAGGTCCTGCCTCCTGCTTCGGATTGGTGCAGTACTGGCCATTGCGGTCACTTGGGGAGTGAATTAGAGGATGGGAGATCTTCCTCTCTGTCACTCCTCTTCTCTCTATATATCTGACTTTGCAATAAAAATAATCTTTTATTTATTTATTTATTTTTAATAATCTTACTTAGTTCATTAGGGTACAAAGGGTCACAGGCTACAGGAAAGTGGGTAATACCATTGTTTCCACACTAATATCATCATTTTTTCCCCTGTATCTGGGGTCAGGGGAGAAACAAAGGGAGAAGCCCCACCCAGCCTCCCACCCATCCCAGGTTCCCAATGTGGGCATGCTCCGAGGGTCCTGCTCAAGCAGTTTTGATAGTTCAACAGTTTTCAATTGCTGTCAATCTTGCCATTTCAAGCGCGATGAAGTCTATTCAGAGTCCACTGGCTGACATAGTCTCTTCATGGTCGTGGTTCTGAGATCAGCAGTTCTGTTGGAGGGATCTCCAAAGAAACTTCATCTGAGTTGATCCCAGACCCGAATCATGTGTGTGCTTGCCAGTATAGGGTCTGGCATAGTCCGTCGCCCCAATCAGCCTATGCACATGCTGGTTGTTTCAGTTGCTGGGTCAGTTCTGTTTCCAGCCCTGTTATCCACCCGAACCAATGGGTGTTGTAGTCCAGCCCAATCCTACCCACTTCATACTTGGCCCTCACACAAACCAGTGGGAACTGCAGCCTAGTTGGGGTGACTCCCCATAATCCCCACCAGACCTGCCTTCTACCCTGGTTCCTAAGCATGCCAGCATGTACTGCAGACTTATTCAGTCTGTCCCACATCCCATTTAGCTCTTATACATGTCAATGGACTTTGAAGCCTAATTCAACCCAACCAACCCTACTATCCAGCCCACACACATACTGGATGGTGCCTTTCTGTCTGGCCACCCCTGCCCCTGTGTTGGTTTTCTTGCTCTCCAGTGGGAGTGGTAATCCAAGAGGGAGGTGCCCACTATCTCTCTACTAGGCCACTCCCATTCCCGGATTATGCACTCTCCAGGTGGTTCTGGATTAAAAAAAAAAAAAATGTAGCTCTAAGCTCTATACTTAGACTAGTCAACCTCCAAGAAATGTTACAAGGTCGATTAGAAATCACACAAGACACAGGAAATGTTAAAGTTTAGATAGAGACGCAGAAACTTAATTAACAGTGTTATTGTTTCTCCTAATGGTGTCTGGCAGATGGGCCAAGGGTGGTCTCGGGTGGTCGACTTTTCTCTTAGCCTCAGATTAGCTACAAAGTTTCCCCTGAGAGCCTAGACCAAAACACAGGTCTTTTACAACCTTGGGCAGAAAGAGCCCAACCTTGAGAAGATAGGAATTCCTGACAGTTCCTCCCTTCATCACACTGCACCGGGGAAAGCTTAGTTGATTAAAAGCTCTAACAGCAGCCTTTCGAGGCTGTCCTATTCCATTTGTGGTGGTAAGCGACAATCTGCCGACCGGTGAATAAAGACTCAGAACTTGTTCTTCTTTTTTTATTTTTAAAGATTCATTTATTTTTATTGTAAAGTTAGATATACAGAGAGGAGAGACAGAGAGGAACATCTTCCATCTGACAATTCACTCCCCAAGTGACTGCAACATCTGTTTCCTCCAGGTCTCCCAAGAGGGTGCAGGGTCTCAAGGCTTTGGGCCGTCCTCAACTGCTTCCCAGGCCAAAAGCCAGGGAGCTGAATGGGAAGTGGAGTTGCCGGGATTAGAACCGGTGACCAGATAGGATCCTGGTGCTTTCAAGGCGAGGACTTAAGCTGCTAGGCCACCGCGCCTGCTCCCGTGCCAGTATTTTACAGGTAGAGAAACCTTGACCCAGGGAAGGGATTAGCTTGAGGTCATAGAAAGAAATTGTCCAGAATCTAGAACTTCTAAGAGTCTGCCTCTGAATCATTTTTGGGATAGAATCAGTCAGTTCACAACAGGTCTCCCATGTAGGTGGCAGGGACCCAAGGACTTGAGCCACCGTCAGCTGCCTGGCAAGCCATTAACACGCAGCTGGATCCGAAGTGAAGATGGGATTTGACCCCAGGCATGCTGAGAAGCGATGTGGGTGTCCCAAGTAGCCAGCTGACTGCTACACCAGACTTGCTCAACCACTACTGGCAGGTGGTTCTCCTTTTTAAAAAACCTACTTAAAAGGCAGAGATAAAAAAATCTCCCATTGGCTAGTTCACTCTCTCAATACCCCCCAACAGGGTAAAGGTCAGGCAGAATTCAGAATGGAAACACAGTAAGGTCTGCGATGTGGGTGGACCCAGATCCCCCGGGCCATTGCGCATCAGCAGGCAGTTGGGGCGGAGGCCACCCAGGCAGCGCCAAAGACGCTAGGGCGGCGCTTGCTTGCCTTTCCGGCCCGACTACAGGTGCTTCACCTTACGTCGAGGGGTTCTGGGAACTCCCCTGCCCCCGCTCGGAGTGTTCTAATGGCTCCCCAAATCCCCCCTCTGCTCCCGGGGCTGCTGTAATGACCCTCACAGCTCTGCTCACTGGGGAGCATCTCTTAACGGCTCCAAGGAGACTTCCTTCCCACCCCCACACCTGACTTGGGGCACCCACCGGGCTCCTTGCCCTACGGTGACTCTCTCGGCAGGGAGGCTGGTCCTCTTACCCGGGCTTCGCGGACTGCCCCACAGGGCCTCCATCACACCTTCACACCAAGGCGCTACTCACCCCAAGGAAAGTTCGGCCCAGCCCCTGGTGGGCACAGCCCACACTCCGTAACCTCCCGGCCCCTGCCCAGCTCGAGGAGCCCCGCGGTCCCCAGTGCTGGCCGCTTTCAGCCCCGTCGAGGCCCCGGAGGCCCGAAGCCCGGCACTGATTGGCCGGCTCCGCCACCAGCCGGGATGCTCAGTGGCCGTGCTCCCGAGGGGAGCGCGTTCCCCCCTGGCAACAGCCCGGGCGGCTGCTCATAGGCTGAGGAGATGATATTCCCAGACTCCGAGGCGGCGGCTGAGTCTGCTGATTGGCTCTGGGAGGCACGAGAGCCGCCCTCGGATTGGTCGGCTGCAGGGGAGCGCTGTGCGGCTGCGCCGAGGCAGACTTTGGAGGAGGCGGAGCTAGATCCTTCGCCTGCTGTGCAAGCACTGCGATCGGCCAGTGTCGGCAGCAGAAACCGGGGCTGAGCCCTGCCGGGGCTTCGGGCTGTAGGTGAGAGCCGGAGAGGTGTGGATGGTTTTCGGCGAGGTGCCGCTGGAAGCCTTGACCGTGCGCTCCGGTGGGGGAGGGGCAGCGGGGTGTTTCTGGAACGGGGAGTGATCGGCATGTGCCTCGCCCAATGGGAGAGAGGGCTTGTCAAGTGAGTCCCGCGATTGGTTCTTTCCAATCCTGTGTGGCCAATGGGCGTCGGGAGAGGGGGGCGGGTCCTCTGGGCCTTATTTTCTTCTTCCTGCGGCTGGGCCTCCGTCGCCTGCCTGGGCGGCGGGGCCGGGAGGGGCCGGACCTGTGGCGGGTGAGCCTCGGGCCCCGGGCGGGCAGCAGGTGGTGTCGGTGCTCGGCGCGGTGCCTGCGGGTGCGGCTGGAGGTGTTGGTGAGCAGCCGCCGGCCGTGTGGAGCGGTCAAGTTCCCGGCCTAACTCTGGGGCTGTGTCGCTTGCATCATCGAAGTTCATCACGGCCATCGTGCGGGGCCAGGGGCTGGGGTCCCCATTTTGCCCGGGGAGCTCCTGAGGGCTGCTACACGTGCACGGGCAAGGTCACGGCGCAGGTCCGGGACAGTAACTCGCTGCGCAAAGTTTGGACTCGGGAGCCGGTCGGAGCTTTCGCACCCCCTAGGCTTTGTTGCTGGGGTGCGGGAGGGAGGGTGTTTCGGGGACGGGAGCTTTCTCCAGGGCGAGGCCTGGGGGTGGGGGAGAGGGTGAGCCGATGAGGTGAGGCTGGGGAAGCAGTTTTTCTGCAGGCTCCATAGGCTGCGGCGGGCCGGGCATTGTTCTGCTCCCTGGCGTTCGGAGATGAATAGAACCCGAGGCTGAGGAAGCTCCTAGCTGGGAGGCCCCTTTCAGGGTCCCAACCTTGAGCTGATAGACTGGTGCTTCTGTGAAATTTGCAGAAGCTTGAAGCTTCCTTCCGATTTTTCTTTATCTGTATTGTTATTTTTTAAAGAACGTGTTCAACGTTGTAGAAGCTTCAGGTCCCTTGGATTTGGAGCTGCGCTTGAAACGGATCTAGTTGGGGTCAAGGTTAGGGTCTCTGCAGCCTAGTGGACTGTGGGCAGACTTCCTGCTCTGTACACCTGGCATAACAGTAGACCTGCCATGCAAAGTGCCTAGTAGGTTCATGGAAAGCACCTGGCTGGGGGCATGGCTTGGTGTGACTGTGACTGGGACAGTTGGTCTTTCCTCCTATACCTGTCGTTTGCCTATCCGATGCCAAGTTGCTGGTCGATGGAAGTAGTTTTGTCCTTTTGGGGCATCCAGCTTTCGATGGAGCTCTTGGAGCCAGACTGCTAAGAGTGGGACCGGAACTTGGGATGGGGGTGGGATTAGAGCTGCCCATCCTTGCAATTTCAGAGAAAGCAAGAATTAGTTTTGCTTCTGAGCTGCCTTCTTTTGGCTGGTTTGGTTGCCTTCTCTAGTTGGTCATCAAGTGCGAGTGGTGCAACCACTACAGTTCCCATTTGAAATGTGTATTTTGCTTTCTCTCATCAGTGATGAAGCTTGCCCTTTATTGCTAGTTTATTACCTGTTTCATTTTGTCTTTGAGTTCAGGGCACAGTGCCTTTGAACTTGTCTCTAGCTTGTCTTCATTATGGCCTGCAGAAAAGTCACCTGAAGGGAGAGAGGTTTTAAAAGTTGTCATGCTATTCCTTTCAAAGAACTTTTTTAAAACACTGAGGTGTTGTCTGTCATCTTGTGGCCAGGCAATTTGCCTTTGCCATCCAGAGTCCTTGGAAAGGAGCTCATGGCTTTTCAGATTGGGTTCTGGTGTGTTTAGTACTCTGAGAAGTGGTTAGAAGGGTATAAATAAGAGCAACTTGAAAAGATCAGGGCAGAATGATTGAGTCAACTGTAGCCTTTGGATGGGAAACATAAGTACAGTATCTCAGCTCAGACAGTCTGTTTAAGTGAGATTTGTATACATGCAGTTTGATACATAGATAGATGGAATGTTATTGTATGTATTTCTAGTTCATTTAAATAACAGAACTGTTAGTGTATGCATTTCTAGTTCATTTAAATAATTTCTAGAGATGCATTCCAGACATGAGGTCTTAATGCTTCAAGATTTCTATATCATCTATTGTTTCATCACGGACAGTCCCAGCACTTGCTTTTTATTTATTTATTGGAAAGGCGTAGTTGCTGAGGGGGAGAAAGAGACCTTCCAACCACTAGTTTACTTCCTCAAATAGCAGCAAGGACTAGGGCTGGGCCAAACGGAAGCTAGGTGTAGGAATTTTTTCAGGTCTCTGTGGGTGGCAGGGGCTGGAGTACTTAAGCCATAGTCTGCTGCTTTCCTAGGAGCTTTAGCTGGCAGCTGGAATCAGAAGTGGAGCAGTCAGGACCAGAGCTGGTGCCCATACAGGATGCCAGTGTCACAGGCAACAGCTTTGCCACTGGGCCGCAACACTGGCTCCAGCATTTGCTATTCATTTCTCCTCATATACTGTTACGCACATAATGTATTTCAGATTTCTGGTTGGCTGAAGTGATTTACAAAGGAGGGAACATGGCTTCCGAGTCAGAAATCCTGAATCCCAGTGCCCGGATCATGACCTTTTATCCAACTATGGAAGAGTTCCGGAACTTCAGTCGCTACATCGCTTATATTGAATCGCAAGGTGCTCACCGGGCTGGGCTAGCCAAGGTAAGGAGCCACAGGCAGCAGCTTCCTGGGGATTTTTCCAGTAGGGTTTGGACTCTGAAGGTTAAGTAGCCCTGCTGTCCCATTTGCAAGTTAATTCCCATTGTTAACACCTGATGCTTCTAGAGAGACGTGCTTGAGTCCTCACAAAGGGGAAAGGACAAGCCAGCTCTCTGAGCCTGGCTGGCTTTCTGTCCTGTTGTACCTGAAAGGTTGTTGTCCCTCCCCATCTTGTGCCAGCTGGCTTCTCTGACTTCTCTGGCTTCCTGGGAGGCTTTCTTCAAGGCCAGCTCCCAGGAGGAGTCTAGTCCTTGTTGGAAATTGGATCTCTGCTTTGTATTCTTTCTGCTATGAGCTGGATTAGTTATTTTTTTCCCAAATCAAAGTAAGCCCTTCCTGTATCTGTCCCAGTCAAGTTGCTGAATCCCTGCAGATGAAGTGGCTGCATTTCTGGAAGGATCCTCAAAAAACTAAAAGGCCAGAGGAAACTTTTTTGCACTGAATTTCTGGCCATATGCACATGTTACTTTTTCTCTATATGTATAGTTAAGATTTTATTTTATTAGAAAAGCGGATTTGCAAAGAGAAGGAGAGACAGAAAGATCTTCCATTTGCTGGTTCACTCCCTGAATGTCCATGAACCTGGAATTGAGCTGTTGAGATTATAAACAAGCATACTTGTGTTGCAAGGCAGATGTGTAAGGAAAAGGCTAGTCTTCCTTCTCCATTGCTATCTCCTTAAAGTAATTAGTGTCAACTAAGGATTCTCCCCACACATTTGCTTTGCTCTAACAAATATACACACATTCAGCATTTTGGGTTTTTTAGTTGTTGTTGATGGAATCATGTACGTGCCTGTGTTGTATTGGCTTGTTTTTTTTTTTCCTTTTCACAACATGTATTCCTTCTAGGTAAATTATGGCTTCAACTTAGTGCTTTTTGTGTATTAGCTATCTTAGTTAACTGTTTTATATAAAGCTCCAGCCATTACTTCCCAATTGGGGAGTGAACCAGCAGATGAAAAATCTTTGTCTCCTTTCTATAAATCTGATCTACCTTTCCAATAAAAATAAATACTTACTTTTTAAAGTAAGTAAACAAAGCCAAACATTTTTGTTTGAAAGGCAGAGTTGGAGATTTTCATCAAGTGGCTCACTCCCCAGACAGCCTGGCTGGGCCTGGTTGAGGCCAGAAGCCTGGAGCTCCATCTGGATCTCCAGCAGAGATGGTAGGAGCCCAGTCATCTGGGCCATCCTCCACTGCTTTTCCAGACCACAAGCAGGGAGCTGGTGGGCAGCCAGGTTTTGAACTGGTGCTCATGTGGGATGCCAATGTTATGGAGAGCCACTTAATCCACTGTTCCACAACATTGGCTTGTATTTTATTTGTTTTTAGAAGATCCTGGGGCTGTTAGATTGAGAGACCATCAACTTTTCAGCCTCTTCTTGGTGTCTCTGTAGGACACCAAAGCTGAGAACAAGCATCATTTGTTACCTTGGGCCATGAGCTGGTGCAGGACTGTGTGTGGGTTAGCATGGCCTGACAGTGGGATTCCTTTATTTAAGTCCATGTCACTGTTAGGTAAACTTGCTGTCAAGCTGCATAGGGTGTAGGCTTCCTGAGCGCTCCCTGCCAGCCAGACTTCTCACTTGTATAGTTCTCTTGTTCCCTGCAGGTCGTTCCTCCAAAGGAGTGGAAGCCGCGCACCTCATATGATGACATAGATGATCTGGTCATCCCTGCCCCCATCCAGCAGCTGGTGACAGGGCAGTCTGGTCTCTTCACTCAGTACAACATCCAGAAGAAAGCCATGACGGTCCGCGAGTTCCGCAAGATTGCCAACAGCGACAAGTGAGTGGGGCGGTTTCCTTCCCTGTGCTGGTAACTGGGAGCCCGTGTGGCCGCCTCCTGGACTGCTCCCATTCTGCTCAAGTGTGCTTCCTCCGCTCAGCCTCTTGCTGCCTTCCTGTTCTGTCCGTGTGCGTTTCCTCCTCTAGTTGCTGTGTTCTGTTGTGCGTCCAGAGACAGCACCTTCCTTTCCCACCCAAGGGCGACTCTGGTTTGGCCTTCCGTGGATTGCAGAGGGCCATGTTGAAAGTGGTTCAGGGAGCTTCACTTGCTGACCAGAAAGTGACTTTTGTAGTGTCCCTGGCTCCTCTTGGTGTCCTTCGGAGTTGGTCATGTTCGAGTGGCTCACTGTGACTGCTGCTGCCTTTTCCATTTTAACATTGGCTGAATTGGGAGTGAGTGAACAGGTTAGGTGTGTTCTGGACTTCTCCATCCCTTGCGTGTCCCGGCTTCTGTGGTTTTAGGAGGCCTGTCGTCAGTCTGTGCTGTACGGTGTTTCTCAGCTTCACGGGTGTGCCTTCCTATTGTTCTCATTGGCAGGCTGCTCCTGCCTAATCTCTCCTCCCACATTTCTGCTTGGGATGCCCCCTTTCACCTTGGCTTATTTTCCCCAAGCTTTTTGGTCTCTTGAGGCTTCACCGTGGATGAGCCCACGGTGAACCAGGTCTTGTCCCCCGTGGTCGTCGTGCTCCCGGGGGTGTCCCTTTGTGCCTTGTCCTCATCCTCACTTGCTCATGCTTTTTCTGCTCTTGGTCTTTTTGCCTGAATCACATTTGTTTTGTAGATCTTCTAGCTTGATTGACAGCTCTGAGAACTTCAGCTGCAGCTGGCCTGTGAGCATGGTGTGTCCTGACTCGCTTTGTGCCACGTCTGACCAGGGCACTGGGTCCAAACCTGTGTGCTTCATTTCTCATGTGGTTCCACCAGCAGCTTCAGGTGTCTGTCAGTTCCTGTCAGCACCTGCTAGGGTTTCTCTCCTTAAGATATCTTTTGTGCTTTTCAAGTAATCAGTCCCGAGTTTTGGATTCTTAGCCCTAGATTCTTTTTTGTCATTAAATTTTTTTGATTTATTTTCATTTTATTTGAAGGGTAGAGAGGAATCACCCTCTGCTGGTTTATCCCTCCTCCCTGCACCCCTCCTCACCCCCCGCTAAAGAGCTCAACAACCAGGGCTGGGCCAGGCCACAGCCAGGACCTGGGTCTCCGTGTACATGGATCAGAGGTGGAGTACTGTGGCATAATTGTTCCCAACGCTTATGTTTTGTGCTGGTTGGAGTCCTGGCTACTCCTCTTTGGGTCCAGCTTCCTGCTACTGTGCCTGGGAGGCAGTATAAATCTTAATTTTTTTTTTTTTTTTTAGTCTCAAGGTTGGTGTTGTGGTACAGCAAATTAAGCCTCTGCTTGCCAAACAACGCCCTGTACTGGCCGCACTCTCAAACCATATCCTGGATCCTCTCCCCTGGGCCTCTTAATTAGTTAGCCAGGTCCCCACTTTGGCTTTTTGTCTGCCAACCCGTTTCCCAAATGGCTGCCTGAATGGTATTTTTAAAGGGTATTCCTGGAGCTGGAATTATGGTGTGATAGTAGGTTAAAGTTCTGTCTGTAGCAATAACATTCCGTACTGGCACCCATTCATGTCCTGGTTGCTGTCCTTCTAATCCTACTTCCTACTCCTGGGGAAATCCTTGAGAGATGGCCTAAGTCCTTGCTCCCCTGCATCCCTGTGGGAGCCCAGGATGGAGTTCTAGGCTCTTGTCTGCAGCCTGGCCCATTCCTAGCAATTGCCATCATTTGGGAGTGAACCAGCGAATAGAAATCTGTTCTGCTTCTCTTTGTAACTCTGGCTTTCAAATTGATAGATAAATCTTTAAAATAAAGAAATTCAGTCTTCTTTAAGTCGTTCAACATCTTTTTTTTAACTTTTTGAAAGGTACTGTACCCCACGCTACAGTGAATTTGAAGAGCTTGAGCGGAAATACTGGAAGAATCTCACATTCAATCCTCCCATTTATGGTGCAGATGTGAACGGTACTCTCTACGAAAAGGTGAGACTCCCTGAGCTGCAGCAGGTGTGTAGTGTGCCCCTGCGCACAGTAGGCACCGAAAAGTTGAGTGAATGGCTGCAGGAGCAGCTGAGGGTGGGTTTTGCATGTGACTGACTGGATTGCACTTCTCCCACTCTACGTATGAATTGGATGATGTGGTGTTCTTTTCCAGGGCTGTTAGCATAGCCTGTGGGTGGCAGCTGATGAGTTCTTGAAAGGGTGGGATGGATCACAGCCAATGAAATGCGGGAGAGGCAGTGTGGTTTCCGCAAGAAAACAAAAATCCCTGATTAATATGTTACGTAGTTAGGCATGGAAATGTACTTAGATTTTTCAGTCTTCAAATGAGGTTCTGTAGCAGAAGCTATTTTAACCAGCATTGGCTTAGGATGTAGTGCTTTCTGGCATAAGGAGCGTCCATAAATTTGGCTTAGAGGGAATATTTGAGACAGTCTTTGCTTTTTTTCCTTTTTAAGATTTTCTTTTTAAGCATGGTGGTATAGTAGGTTAATCCTCTATAGCATCAGCATCCCACTTGGGCTCCTATTTGGGTTTCTGCTGTTTAATTTCTGATTCAATTCCCTGCTTGGCACCTACACCCACATGGAAAATCTGGGAGAAATTCCTCACTCCTAGCTTTGGATTGGCTAAGCTCTGGTCATAGTGTGGGCATTTTGGGGGTAAGCCAGGGGATGAAAGATCCCTATCTTTTGTCTCTATAAATCTGCCTGTCAAATAAAGTAAGTCTTAAACATAGATTTATTTTTTGAAAGGCAGGGCAGCGTAGAGGGAGGAGAGACATAGAAAGATATGTTCCATCCACTGTTTCGCTCCCCAGATGTTCACAATAGGCAGGACTGGACCACGCCAAAGGCAAGAGCCAGGTACAACATCTGAGTTGTTCAGTGGCAGGGGCTTGAGTCATTATCTGTTGATTCCCAGACATAGTAACAGGAAGCTGGGTCAGAAGCTGAGCAAATACGACTCAAACCTGCACTTCACAATGGGATGCTGGTATCACATGCCACAGCCTATCCTGTTCCATGCTATAATGCCAGCCCCTTGAGATGCATCTTGGATGATTAAGTAACAGCAAAAGAAATACCTCTGTATGGAGTTCAAGGGATAATCACTCTTTTTTTAGATTTACTTATTTTACTTTAAAGAATTACAGAGTGGGAGAGACAGCATTATCATTGGCTGGTTTACTCCCCAGATGGCTGCAATGACTAGGACTGATCCAGGCCCAAGTCAAGAGCTTCCTTTGCATCTCCCACGTGGGTGCAGGAACTGAAATACTTGAGCCATCCTCTGCTGCTTTTCTAAAGGCATTAATGGGGAGCTGGATCAGACATAGTAGTGGACTGGCCTAGACTCGAACCAGTGCCATATGGGATGCTGGTGTCATAGGCAGTAGTTTAACTTGCCTCACTTTGACCCTAGCCCTGAGTGGATTAGCTATAATGTTTTCTATGAATTGTTTGAAGGAAAAAGTTTAAAGAATGGATTTGAGAGTGGTGAGAATTCAGCCTTGTGGGGATGAATGGCAGGAAGTTGCTTTAAGTGTCTGCGATGGGGGAGCTATGTACAATGTGTAGTAATCTGGAGCCTACTTAGTTGGAGAGCAGGGTTCCCAGCTGACCATTACTAATTGGGGAAAAAGACATTGCAAATGTAAGTTTTATTTATTTGAGAGGCAGAGAGGTGAGGAGAGATGAGAGAGATGAGCCAAATAGACTATCATGGGACTTCCAAACACTGGTTTATTCCCCTAATGCCCACAACAGCCTGGGCTTCACCAGGCTGAAGTTGGCAGCCAGATCAACCTTTGTGGGGAATGGAAACAAGTAATTTGGGCTGTCATCTGCTGCTTCCATGTGCATTAGTAGGAAGCTGGATCAGAAATAGATGTGGGGGCACTCTGATATAAGAAGAGGTGTCCTGAGCTCTCTGAGAACTCAACCCACTGTATAGCCTTTGTCCAATGTGGCAGCTTACTTGTGACTGCTGTGGCTTTTGTTCATATTCTAATGAAATTTGCACTGGAAATTTGCAGCATGTTGATGAGTGGAATATTGGCCGGCTGAAAACGATCCTGGACTTGGTGGAAAAGGAGAGCGGGATCACTATTGAGGGGGTGAATACCCCATACCTGTACTTCGGCATGTGGAAGACGTCCTTTGCATGGCACACCGAAGACATGGACTTGTACAGCATCAACTACCTGCACTTTGGAGAACCCAAGTCCTGGTAAAGTCAGCCTGTGGTCACACCTGGCTTCTCATGCTTGAGCAGGGCTGCTTTCCTCCAGCGCCGATAGAGAACCCTGGGGTCAGCAGGCTGGTCCATACAGTGCAAATCAGCTTTCCTGTGATGATGCGGTAGGAGCTCTCTGGGGTAGGGAGGTGAAGAGGGCACAGCACTTTGGACCATTGGTGAGAGATTGAAAGCCATATCAGCTGTTCCAGGTCCATTTGCTGCTCCAATTTCTTTGTTTATTTGTTTGTTTTTTAAACTGATTGTTTTTCATATTTATTTGGAAGGCTTAGTTACAGAAAGAAGGAGAGACAGGGAGATCTTCCATCCACTGGTTCACTCTCCAAATGGCTACAATGGCTAGAGCTGGGCCAGACCAGAGTCTGTGCAGAGTCCAGAGCTGAATTGATCTGAAGCCAGGAGCTTCTTCCTGGTCTCCCTTGTGCATACAGGGTTCCAAGGCTTTGGGTCATCCTCCACTCCTATCTTAGGCCATAAGCAGGGATCTGAATAGGAAATGGGACAGCCAGGACACAAACTGGCGCCCATATGCGATCCTGGCACTTGCAAGGTGTTAACTAGTTGAGCTGTTGTGCGAGGCCCTAAAATCTGTTTGCCGGAGGTTTTCCTGCTACCACATGCTTTCCATTCTGTAATCTTTGGGGAGGGGGAACCCTTCTGTGCCTGTAATTACCACATAACTTTGCTGCTTCCTTCTTTGTAGCTTCACTTGTAGATTCTGTAGTTTTCTTTTTCATCACCACTTTTTATTCCAAAATTCCCAGGCAGGGAGTTTCTGTCATTTAGTAAGAGGTTTTCTGGTTCTCAACTCAGATGTAGTCCTCCAAGGACTTCTGTTCTAAGATGTTTGGTACGTGTCACAGTCTTTCTGATAACTTTCGTTTTTCTCAGCACTCCTTTGTTTTGTTGCGTGATGAAACTGTATGGGATGGGTTTTTTGTTGTTGTTGTAGAATCTTGAGAGTAGATTTTAAAGGTTAAAAACTGCTATGATTTTCAGAATGTAAAATTTAAAGAAATTGCAAAAGCTTTCAACTTGAAATTTTATGGCTTATTTTTTTCATTTGTTTTTGGCTTTTTGAAAGTTATTTATTTACCAGAACAAGGGAGTGGAGTGAACAGGAAAGGAGAGAGAGAGAGAGAGTGAGAGAGAGAGAGAGGAGATATCTCTTCCATCCACTGGTTCACTCCTCCAATGGCTGTAGCACACATGGCTGGGTCATTCCAAAACCAGATCCTGAGCTTCATTCAGGTCTTCCACATGAATTGCATGAGTTCAGATACATGGGCCATCTCTTGTTGCTTTCCCAGGTGCATATTCAAGGAGTTGGATCCGAGGTGAAGCAGCCTGTACTCAAGGGGATGTTAGCATTACAGGTGGCAGCCTAACCCTGTGTGCCATACCATTGGCCTCTGCTACCTGAGTTATCGTCTTCTGCCTCCTAGAATCTCACTAGGAGGATAGATTAGAGGTGGAGTAATTGAGGGGCTGGCTAATCTTATGCCTGCATGCACCAGTACTCCATATGTGTGTCGTTTCTGACCCACCTCCCTGCTCAGGGGGGATTGCCCAAAGCCTTAGAACCCTACACCTGCATGGGAGACATAGAGAAGAATCTTCTGGCTTTGGATTGGCTCAGCTCTGGTTGTTTGAAACATTTGGGGAGTGAACCAGCAGATGGAAAATCTTTCCATCTTTCATTCTCTAAGTCTGCCTTCCCCCCCCAAAATCATTGTTTTTTCTTGTTAAAGGAAGTGGAATAGTTGGTATTTGAACTAGTATGGGATGTAAGTGTCCCTTATGGCAGCTTAATCCATGCACATAAGTAGCAGTTTGTTGGGTGTCTGGACACCCTACCAGGTGCATGAGTAATTAATTATTGTGTAATCAATATAGTGCTTATGGAGTTGAAGTGAATATACAGACAATGGGGCTAGGTCTCTAAGGTCTAATCCACCTGTGGCTTTTTCCGTTCTCCATCTGTCCTGTTCCCAGTTAAACTTTGCAAGCTCTGCCAGGAGCATTAAAAAAATACTGAGGTTGTAGAATGCCATCCTTTTTCCTCTTATTCAAGTTTTATTACAAGTACAACATTATACAGGAGAGAAACATTGTGAGCCATAAATCCCAGCTCTGGGTGAATATTCAATAAATGTCTTATTAAGTGTTAAACTATAGATGAAATAAATTCACTCACCACTGTGTGGGCTCCATCCTTGGTGGCTCAGGTTAGTACTCTGTTTTTCCAGATTGGTTTCTAGGGTTGGGAGTTGAGAGGTCTGCTCTCCCCAGGTGTTTGGAGGGTGGACCCAGCAACTGATGCTCTCTCCTGCTTGTAGGTACTCTGTCCCACCTGAACATGGAAAGCGACTGGAACGCCTTGCCAAAGGTACTGTGTCTGCCACCTGCTGTGCTCCTGGCTCTTTGTGATCAGGTTCTTTTGAGGCCTTTTGTAGGCCTGCAGGTCGGGGTGAGTGGGAGTGAGCTGGAGCACTGACCTCAGACGCTCAGCTGTGGTCCCAGCCTTTGTTACTCTGCCTGGCTGGGGCCTTGGGCTGTCCTCGCCCCAGCGTCTTGGCCTTGCCAAACATGGGTTTATTGGACCAGGACTGATAGACCAGTGCTGTTGAACCTGGTTCCTCTGCCAAAAACCCAGAGTTAAAGTTGTAACTGAACTGTTTTGTGTCCTGGTTCTCTTAACATGTGTTCTTCAATAGTAGATTTGTAGTTGTAGAGAGACTATTTCCAGGAAGCCTGGTTCTGTTCTGTATGGTTTCAAAACTAATGTAAGAACAGAGACAGCCAAGGTAGTCTCTCTGCCCTCCTTAGAATTTGATCATCCATGTGATGCCCCACATGGCAGAGAGCTCAGGGGCTTCTTGTACAGGAACAGAGGATGCCAGGGAGGTCTTGTTGGTGTGTCACCCTTACTGTCTCCAGGAGGGCGCAGGTGTCTGACTCTGAGATTACCAAACTACCATGGAGCCTTGCAGTGACCTAGTCACGTTTTCCAATGAACAGGTTTTTTTCCTGGAAGTGCTCAAAGCTGTGAGGCTTTTCTCCGCCATAAGATGACTCTGATCTCCCCTCTAATGCTGAAGAAGTACGGCATTCCTTTTGACAAGGTGAGCTGTCCATCCATGGGTTTCCAGAGAAGCCCCCCGGCTGTGTCCTCACTCAGGCCTGTCCTTTGCTGAGTACCAGCTCTCTGCACTTTGACCTCGGGCTGGGGCTCTGCTAAGGAACAGTGATCATTTGGAGGAAGGTTAATTACAGTGCTGGAATCTGAAACTCCAGGCCTTTGCACGGCAAGCACGAGGCCCCATGTTTTATGACTTACTCTGAGTTGCTGAGCCAGAGCACAGATTCTGGGTGTATAGACTTGTGCTTGGTGTGCAGCTATTGCAGATCTGTTCTCATGCAGGTAACTCAAGAAGCTGGAGAGTTTATGATCACCTTCCCTTATGGCTACCACGCTGGCTTTAACCATGGCTTCAACTGTGCCGAGTCCACCAATTTTGCGACCCGTCGGTGGATTGAGTATGGCAAGCAAGCTGTGCTGGTACATGCCCTCACTTCCTTTCTATAGCCCCATGACAGGAAGTGTCAGGTTGCCCGACAACCTTTTTGTCAATGTTTAGATGATTTCCTTGAACTGTTTGGATGCAGACTCGGTCCTGGAGATGTGCAAATGTGCCCACACTTGGTGTTGATGAAGACTTTCTTAACACAGGTCCATAGTTTTGAAGCACAGAATGAGGTTCCATGCTCAAGACCTTCAGCCATTTGAATTACACCCATCACACCCATTTTCTAGATTTAGCCACTCCAAGATTTTCTCTATTGAGAAGTTACTGTTTACTTTAATTCCAGATCATTCTTAGTCTCCTTTTACTACACTTGGGCACTGGTTGGGGAAACTTGGTTGTGTCCTGACTCCCACGGGCAGGTACTTGCTCAGCATCCATGGTCTTGAGTGCAGAGCCTCCCTCTAGGCATGCTCGTTAATGCCTGGGGGACTTGCCCAGGTCATTTGGTCTCAGTTCCTTCTTTTCCTGTTTCCCTTTGTGGTTGCAGACTCCACAAGGACAGTGCCCTCAGCCTGTGGACCCAAATTGTTTACTTTTAAAACTCCCTGTGCAATTTTCCACCCCAAGGGAGGAGGTGGGCTCTGGTCCGGGGCGGCAGCCAATGAGGGTCACCCACATTCACCTTAGTGCTTTTGGCTCCTGGTGACAGTGCTCCTGCCGAAAGGATATGGTGAAGATCTCCATGGACGTGTTTGTGAGGAAGTTCCAGCCAGAAAGGTATAAACTCTGGAAGGCTGGGAAGGACAGCACCGTCATTGACCACACTCTGCCCACGCCGGAGGCAGCTGAGTTTCTCAAGGAGAGTGACATGCCCCCACAAGCTGGGCAGCAGGAGTGTCTGCAGGAGGACATGGACACACTGGAGGACGGAGAGGAAGGAGACCTGAAGAGGAGGTAACCCTGCGTGCTTGGGCGAGGCTGGGGAGGGAGGGCTGTGCAGGCAGTCCTTGCAGCCATGGAGAAGGTGCTGCCAAAACAGGGTCTGAGCTACTAGGGCGGGAGCTGGCTTCTGAGCGCAGGTTCCAGAAAATCTCAGGCAGGGAGCTGAGGGCTTTCCTTGTGGCCCTTTGCCGGGAATGGGGCACCTGGAACAGGCCTGTGGTCTGGGATTTGGAAGGACAGGGTATCCTCTGAGCCAGCAAAATCTACTTTCCTCACTGTCCCAGCTGAGTACATGGTAGCAGGCAAGACTCCAGAGGGCCACAGGATGGTGTGGCTGACGTGTATCTGCATCATCTGCTCTGGGCAGGGGGCCTGTGCTCTGAGCAGAGCTTCTCTTGGACCATCTGAGAAAGAGGAGAAACTGAAAATCCCTGTGTGCCAGGCACCCTGTGTACCTCTTCCAACTCTTCCAGTGGTCTGTCACGGGGTAGTAATGGCTGGGTTTTCCAGATAGCAGAAGAGGCTCAGTGAGGCCAAGTGTTTGAATAACGTTTGGTCCTGAGTTTCACAGCAGGCCAAGCTGGTGCTGCCTAGTCATTCACTTTGGCTGTTATGTGGATGAGACTGTCAGTGGATGTTATGTAGGCTCCTAAAGGTATGCCCTCTCCTTGCAGCCTGGCCAAGCACCGTATAGGGACCAAGCGGCATCGAGTTTGTCTTGAAATACCCGAGGAGGTGAGTCAGAGCGAGCTCTTCCCCAAGGAGGAGCTGAGCTCCGGCCAGTACGAGATGACGGAGTGCCAGGCTGCCCTCGCCCCCGTGAGGCCCACCCACAGCTCTGTGCGGCAGGTGGAGGATGGGCTGACCTTCCCAGGTGAGTCATCAGTGGCGGCGCCTTCCCCAACCCTCACTCCGGCCTGCCTGTGTTCAAGGCCGTGTTGTGTACAGAGATGCAAAATAGGGGAGACACAAGTGTGTGAGAGGTGGCGTGACTGGAGTGGAAGGAGGGCCCAGGCTTAGCCTGGGGAAGGTTCACCCCTCTGGAGAGAGGACACAGGAAGTAGCTTCCTAGAGCATAGGAGCTGTGCCGAGGCAGGCAGGCGCATGTCAGGAGGCGCTCCCTTGGTGATCTGGAGTGAGCTTGAATTTGAATGTTGGGATGGGGTTGGTGAAGACAGTTGTACAGCAGGAAGCAGGGCTGGAGAAACAGGGTGAGATGAGGCAGGGCCACCTGCCATGTCGTTGTATGAACTTTAGCAAATATGCGATTGCCAAGAGATAATGTGCTGCCAGAGGTCCAGAGCGATTCTTGGACCCAGGCACACAGTGTGTGAAGATTGGATCAGGGGGCCTGATGTTGCAGAGAGGGTTCACTTGGATACTTGGGGAGCTGTGGAAGCCTTGAGAGAGGGCATCATGCGTCTGGGGCAGCATGTCAGGAGGTTTGAAGGAGTCTGTGATGATGCCAGGCAGTGCTGCTGGCATGAGTCCTTGGGCAGACTTGGCTGCCCTTGAACAGATTGGCTGCTTTGAGGTGGCCAGGTCTCTGCCAAGCTCAGCCTGTGCCTGCTGCAGGGGACTTCTGTGTGCTACAGAGCATCCTGGGTACCCCCATCTGGATGCAGGCTTTTTAACAAAGAGGAGAAATGGGGGTTTGTGAAGCTGGCAGTCACCTCAGATCACACAGGATCCCATAAGCCACAAACAGGAGTAGAAGCCAGGGCTCGCTCCCAGCCCCCTGTGCCTTGTGCATTGTTTACAGTGGTGGGCAGAGACCCGAGCTCTGTCTGATGTGTGTGTGCACATTTCAGATTACTCGGACTCCACTGATGTCAAATTTGAAGAGCTCAAAAACGTGAAGCTGGAGGAGGAAGATGAGGAGGAGGAACAAGAAGCAGCAGCCTTGGACCTGTCGGTGAATCATCCTGCTTCCTTAGGGGCCCGCCTGGTCTTCTCAGGTTCCATGAAGAAGCCGTCTTCTAGCCTGGGCTCCGGCTCTTCGCAGGACTCCGTTTCTTCCGATTCCGAGACCAGTGAGCTGCTCTCCTGCCAATCGCAAGGGCAGACAGGTGTTCTCACTGTGCACAGCTATACCAAGGGAGAAGGCAACATCACTGTGGGAGAGCCATGTGCGAGGAAGAAAGGTGGCACCACTCGGACATTCAGCGAGCGGGCGTTGGCAGAGGTATGGGCTCCCGCGCAGCAGGATGGGGGTAGTTGCAGTGGAAGGCAAAGTGGCAGATATCCCATGCAGGGGCATTGCATCTCGGGGAATGCCACTGGTCTGGGAGCACGTCCAGCCTGCCCTGCTTGTGTTGAACAGAGAACCTGGTGGCATTCACTCTTCTGGCTTGTTCTTTGCTGGACGTTTCTTGCTGTGTGAAAGCATTGCAGCCTCAGGGACAGCAACATATCCCCAGCATGCTGTTTTTTTTTTTTTTACTTTGGGTGGCCAGGAACAAGGGTACAGCCCAGATCCTGGAGGTTTGTAATGAGTTAACCTTTGTTAGCCCAAAATTCAGGTGTTTTTTTCACTTATGAATCTTGTCTGCCCTGTGGACTGCCAGGACCCAAACTCCTCCCACTCCTCCCCGGTCCCCAGTCTCCCGGTTTGTGCGGGTTAAGTGCAGCCTCTGGGAAGGGGTGATGGCTAACAGGAGCTAGTGCAGAATGTCGATCCTCTGGCTGCCTCATTCCCTTACCTCTAGTTTGTAGACATTGCTGTCTTGGAAATTTTTGTTAGGAAGTTTCTAATGTACACATAGAATACCATCACCGGGCCCCCCAGATGCTCATTCCCTCTCTAATCAGAGGTGTGTGGTCTGTTTCTCTTTGTGTGGGTTTTTTTTTGGCTAAAGCACCAGCACCCTATTCATCATCAGGTTTCTGTAGTGTTGCAGGGCGCTTCTTGTGGTTGTTTTGCCTTCTTGTTTCCTCTGGGCCACTGGGTTCCATTTCTGAGACTTCGATTCGACCGGGTAGATGTACTTTACAGTGGTTGTGGGCAATGAACTAACTGCTACTGTGCCTCCTTCTCATTGCCCCTGATTGCGCTGTGTTGTCTTAAGGTACCCGGCATAAGAGCACAGGCGATTCAGCTTGGAGACCCACATTGCCTTTTAGCCAGTGGCCACTGTCACAAAGCATTGAGTTGCCTGCTGTGTCAGTTGGAGTCACAATCACCAAAACAGCTACGAAGTAGCATGTGCTTATTCTATAGTAAATGCTTTGTAAGCATCACTCAGTCTTTGTATGACTGCTCACTTGGAGCCACGCATTGTTGTGGGCTTTTTAGGGAGGAGAGGCAGAGAGCCAATAGTAAGCTGTTTTTTCCTTCTTTCTGAGATCTGGACCCAGTTAGATGATGGATATGAGCATCAGGCACTTGTCGCTTAAAATGATGAAAGAAGATGTCCTTAAACCTGTGGCAGGTTGGCCTTGCTGCTCATATGCTTTTCATTAGACAGATGAACTGCCTCGTCCCCAGGTCCCTTCTAGGGACAAAACCTTTCCCTCTCAGCTTTCACTAGGTGTGGGAACTGACCAGCGTGCACTCTGCTGCACCAGACAGATTCTATTAAAAAAAAGTTGCGCTAATGGCCTCAGGATGGCGAGAAAGACCACCTTGTTCAGTTCCTTGCAGAAACCTTATCATTTCTGCATGTGCCTTTTTTTTTTTTTTTTAAGATTTATTTATTTTTATGGGAAAGGCAGATATAGAAAGGAGGAGAGACAGAGAAGAGGATCTTCTGTCTGTTGATTCACTACTCAAGCAACTGCCATGGCCGGAGCTGTGCTGATCTGAAGCCAGGAGCTACTTCTGGGTATCCCACATGGATGCATGGTCCCAAGGTTTCACAGGCAGGGAGCTGGATGGAAAGTGGAGCTGCTGGGATTAGAACCAGTGCACATATGGAATCCCAATGTATGCAGGGCGAGGGCTTTAGCCACTAGGCTACCATCTGGGCCCTTCCACATTGCTTCTTAGTGTAGCATCCTTTTGTACTCCGTCCCTCCACTGCCAGCTTTCTCTGGCTGGTCTGAGCTTATTTAAAGATGTCCTGGCTGCACTCTCATCTCACTGCTCTCTCCCCGCATTCTGCATAGTAGTCATTTATGATGTTGCTTCTCGGGGCCAGGACTGCTTCTAAGGGGCCCCCAGTCTAGAAGAACAAAACCCATAAGCAGATATTTCCAGTACTTTGTGGTAAATGTTGTGCGGGAGTTACTGCTCAGCATAGTGATGGATGAGGAGTTGGGCAGCTGAGGAGAAGGAAGCATGCGGCCAGGCTACAGCTGAATAGGATTGAGTTGAATGAGATTTGAGAATCTGGGAGAAAGACAGTACTCCGAATGGTAATGCTCAGGTCGAGGATCAGGTGCATGGGGGCTGCAGTGGGTTAGCTCGTTCCAGGCACGTGGGCCAAGAGGGGCCCTCTGGAGGACGAGGGTAGGAGCTGGAACTCTGTCCGGGTCTCCCTTGTGGTTGGCAGGAGCCCAAGGGATGTCTTCATCACTGTGCCAAATGCTTGCCCTAGTGAAGGGACTTTTAGGCACAGCACTGAGTTTTTAGGAGATCATCCTGTAAGTAATATAAAGATTTTGGGATTTGGGAAAGAAGGAGGCGAAACTAGACATTGTTATTAGTTAGGTGATTTTCACTTTCCACATCTTTTCTTTCATTCTTTGAATTTTTAAATGATTAACATTGTTATTTTAAAAAGATTTATGTGAAAGACAGAGTTAGAGAAATGGAGAGATGGAGAGATCCTCTGTCTACTGGTTGACTCTCCAAATGGCCAAAACAGTTGAAGCTTGGCCAGGCAAAAGCCAAAAGCCAGGAGAATCTTTCTGGCCTCCCATATGGGTGTCAGGTCTCCAAGGCCTTGGGACATCTTCTGTTGCTTTCCCAGGCTATTAGCAGGGAGCTGGATGATAAGTAGGACAGTTAAGACATGAGCTGGTGCCCCTAGGAGATGTGATGTGACAGCTTTGGCTGCAATGGCACAATGCTGGCCCCTAACATGTTATTTTTATGATTAAATATTTCTGCTTTAGGAAAGAAGGATAAGTACATGAAATGGAAATGAACTAGGAACCTATTTTTGTAGTGTGAGAGAAGGTCATCAAGGACTGGCAAGGTCGCTGGTGGTAGCAAAAGCATGGTGACAGCAGTGGACTGGATGAGGTGTGCAGGTCTTGGGGCCTGGATGTGGGGTAGTCAGGCTGGAGGGGGAGGCACTGTATTTTCCAGCTTAAGTTGGGTGGAGGTGATAATAACAGTGAAAAGGGTTTTTGTGCAGGTCAGGAAGTATGTTTGGAACATGCTTGTGTGGGAAGGCGTGGAGTTGTATACTCAAACACCTGCAACTCGAATCAGCAGATGTGTGCTGTGGAGCAATTCCCCCGGTGTGCTTGCAGGTAGAGGACCCAGGCAGGAGAATAGGAAGCAGGAGCCAGAGGAACTAGCAGAGAGTATTGTGGGGAAGAGAAAGCATGAAGACCTTGGGAGTCAGGGCCTGGTGTGCCTGTGTTGAAGGGCAGGGGCCTGCCAAGTGGGGGGAAGCTGGAGAGGAGAGGGCAGTGACTGGGCCCCGGGGCATTCGGAGGCAGGAGGCTGTGGGATCTGGAGGCACAGGAGAGGTGATTGCAGGTGAGTTTGTTGGTATTTCACTTGGTAAACTATGATGACATCGTATTTACATCTGGAACACTTTGTGGCAGTTAAGCACATTCACTTTGCTGTGTGACCAAGCCAGGCCGCAAGGTGGTCCTGGGAGTGAGGGGACAGAGTGAGATCCTGCAGTTCTCCCCCTGGAATGGTCATTACCCACTTCCTCTTAACGTCCTCTAGTCCTTCTCCAAAGCAAAGGCTCCAGAGACGTTTCTGGCTCTCATCTGATTCTCTTTCCTCGGAAACCTGGGCTACAGCGCTCCTCGTTGTAGTTGCCATGTCTGCTGACGAAGACGAAATTCTAGAAGTTAGGCTTTGTGTCACCGTCATCCTTTCTGGAGGCACCAGTGTGGCTCCCAGGGCTCTTGAGCTCTGTCAATGGGCGATGAGTGGCTGGGAGGGCAGGTTTGTTTCAGCATCAGTAGCTGCTTTGGGGCCTGGTAGCTGGGGCCTGGAGGCCAAAGCTGAGTCACTTGGCTTCTCTGGAGAGCTCTGAGAGCACTGTGTCTTTATTTGGTAACAGCTCAGCTCCTGAGAGCTCCCTCGTGTTCTCTTGCCCCACTTGATTCCAAGCAAGCTGTGATTGGAGCTGCTTGCTGTTGAGTCTGCGTCCAGGGCCTTGTCCAGGGCATCCTGGTGAACGGCAGCGTCTGTTTAACTGTAGCCCAGGCCAGAGTGAGGGCTCTGCTGCACACACTCTTCATAGGAAAGTGAGTCCCCACAAGCTGTGAAAGTGCTTGGTCTTACTGAAGGACAAGCCCATCAAGCACTGGCCTGACTGTGGGACCCATCTGCTCACAGCAGATCCTGGAGCTGTCAGTGGCCTGGGACACTCTCTGTTATTTTAGAGAAGAGTGGGAGGAGCACTACTTGGCCAGGCTCATGGAGCTACAAAGCTAGTTGGTTGAATCTGGACTTAGCCAGCACGATTAAATAGGAAGTGGAACATATTCCATGAGAAGGCAGAAGGCAGTTCTGGCTTGGATGTTTGCTCTCCCTTGGGCTTGTGGGACAGGTTAGTGATCATATGCAGACTTGAGTGTGCATTGCCAAAGCAGCAGACAGAGTGCTGAGTATATGTGGGGCACTCTCAGTAACAAACACTTGGTAAAGGCATGCATGTGTCAGCCCCACCCCAGAAGCTTCACTTTACCTCCTACCTCCTACTCTGTGTTAGTTTTCTGTTTGCTTCTGTTACAGGTTAGCTTAGAGGCTTGATGCAACACAAGCTTATTAGGGTTCTTTTTTTTTTTTTTTCACTCTATTAGGGTTCTTTAGTCAGAAGTCTGAGAGGGCTGCTACAGTGTCAGCAGGGCCAGGTACTTGCCTGGAGGCTCTCTGGGGAGCCTCTAAGCTGTCTCACCCTCCAAGCTGTCCTCACCTCTTGGCTTATGGTCCTCTTCCATCTTCAAGGCAGCAGTAAACAGATGATTTGCACCATAATGCCACAGCTCTGGGATGCCCTCCCACTTCTGTAACCCTTTATTAAGCACCATTCTGATTGCATTGGGTCTACTGGATAATCCGGGATAATCTCTGTGTCTTGAGGTCATCTGATTAGCAGCCTTTGTCATGTTAACATAATAAATTCACAGGGATTAGGACAGGGACATCATTGGGAGACCATTATTCTGTCTGCCAAGTATCCTGATAGCTCCCTTTCATAAGCTTCTTTCTTCCTTGCCTGTAAGTAGCCCCTGTCCTTAAATACGATATTGGAGGACATTGTTTACTGTAACTGTACCTTGTTTCTTATAGTCTGATGTCTTCATTCTCTTATTCCGCGTTGTTCTTGTCAGAACTTAGTTTTAAAAAATGTCCCGACACCGTCCCACTGCCGTGTCCATGGGCCAGCCCCCTGCTCTGCTCCTCCATGTCTTTCATTACTTGTGGCTCTTCCACATCTTGCATGCTGTCCCCTCCTCGGCTTTTCAGTGTTCCTTTGACCTGTGTGCTTTTGAGCCTCTTTTTTGTCTTTTTCTTTCTCTGCCCTGGAAGGCTGCTTCTTCAGTCAGTTTACCTTCCACTCATCTCTTTAATTCTGAGCCTGAACCTAATACTCAAGCATCCCCAGCTCTTCAGCTCTTGCTGCTGCTTTTCCAAACACCTGATCTGAAATATTTTTTTAAACCACCCCCTGGACATTTACAAATGAAAGACCCAGAGACCTGAATTGTGTGTCCTACATAAGCATGCATGATGTGATGGGTCTTAACCCCTGTATCCTCACGGTCCTCACACATGTCCTGCCTGAATGAAGCAGGCAGAAGTCCCCGTCTCCATGACTCCTCTGTACTTGGCCCTTGTCTTCCTATTCTGCTTGTCACTAAGGTATCTTCAAAGTGGGAACTACATGATGATTACTGGGGTGCAAGGATGAGATAAAAGGAACTTTAATTGGTCTTTTCACAGGGGGGGAGAACTCTGCATTTGCTTGTTCAATCCTCAAAGGCCTGCAGCAGCCACTGCTGGACCAGGCTGAATTTAGTGTCACTCTCTCATGTGAGTGATGGAGCTCTTAGCTACTGCTTTACAAGGTGTGTGTGTGTTAGCAGGAAGCTGGAATTAGAGGCAAAGCAGGGGCTTGATCCCCAGGCACTCCAATAGAGGCTAGCACTTCATGCAAACAGGAGTCTTAACCCCTAGGCCCAACGTCTCTCCCAGCCCTGTTTGAAAGTGTGCAGTAGTGTATTAGTTTGAATGCAATAGGTAGGTATGTTTTATCTATGCAGCACTATCTAAAAAGATGGTCAAGTACTGGCTTGCATTTTGTTTTTTCCTTGGAACCCTTCCTTTAAATGAAATCCTAACTCCTTTAACAAATGCAGATGAAAAGCAGAGCTGTTCTTGTTGGAGAGGAGGTAGGGTGCAGAACCCTTCCTGTTCACTCTGATGGAGGGTCCTTGGAGACCCTCTTGAAGTACACTCTGAAAGCATGCAGCGTTTGCTTGGGTGAAACCCACGCCAAGTCTTAATGGGACTCTGGTAAAATATCCTTGACGTCCTCACCTCACAACACTGTCTTCACCTCTCACACTTTCTCTCCTGGGCAGGTCTTTGCACACAGTAGGTGCTTGGGGGAATGGGCAAATGGATCCTGAAGCCTGTTGGGGAAATCTGCCTCTAGAAGAGCAAGCCCTATCACACCCGTGCACGTGGCCTGCCCATGGCCTTGTGTTTTCCTGAGATTCCAAGCATGGTCTCTAAATTCTGGTTTCTGCAGTTCCTCAGGCCCAAGTGCCACCACCATACTGCTCTGGGCAAGCAAAGACCTTAATTGTTTTGCTTTTGTGAAGTGCCCCTCTTCTAGGCCTCATTTCCTCACATAATGGGTTTTGCTAGCCCTGTGTTTCCCAGTGTCAGTATAACCAAGATTCAGATGCGTTGATTAGTTTCGAGCGTAGTGTTACTGAGTTAGTCGTGTACATCTTAGGCTTAATTACATTTGCTCTGGCATTATGATAATGCAATGTGAAATCAGCCTTCCTTCAAAAATTAGGCTATAATTGTAGACACTCTTCGTCTGCGTGATGCTCTTTCTGGCAGAGAGGATACTCGGTGGGGGAATAGCAGTGGCAGCCAGTGACCAGGTCTCCACAGGGCAGAAGAAGCAGGGCTGTTCTATTTTGACTGGTTCAGTTGCTTTTCCTCCCCTTTGGGTGTCTTTTTCCTGACATTTATAACAGGCCCGGCTGACCTGCAGTTCCAAGGACAGCTGTGCTGCCACGGGGGCTCTGTGATGCAATCTCATGGCAGTGAGATGAAGGGATGGGGCGTGGCACTCCTTTTAAGCTGGGGTGGGTTTATTTTTAATACATTTGCTTCAAGCCATTGCTGGGAAGGCTAGGAGCCACATTTATTAGGTGCATTAAAAAATTTATGGAAAGGGAGAGTGACAAGAGTTGAGAGAGATCTTCCATCCATTGGTTAACTTCACTAATGGCTTAATGGCTACAGCAGCTTGAGGCTGGGCTAGGCTAAAGCCAAGAGCCTTGAACTTCTCTGAGTCTCCCACCTGGGTACAGGGGACCAGGTAGTTGGTCCATCTCCTGATGCTTTCCCAGGCATGTTAGCAGTGAGCTGAATTGGAAGCAGAACAGCTGGCACTCGAACCAGGATTCCCATATGGGCTGCAGAATGCCAGCATTGTATGTAGTAACTTAACCAGCTGCCAGTCCTAAGGCACAAATTTTTGACTTTCTAAGAGGTGTTTCCTAAGTGGGGTTTTGTATTTCTTGGTATTTGTCCGTGCCCTTCTCTTCTCCATTTTCATTGTCAGGCTAAACTTGTGCTGTGCTTCAACTGAGGCAAAGTCATATGACTCTATCTGGTTTGCCTAGGTTGCAGATGAATATATGTTCTCCCTGGAGGAGAGTAAGAAGCCCAAGGGTCGCCGCCAGCCGTTGAGCAAGCTGCCCCGCCACCACCCGCTTGTGTTGCAGGAGTGTGTCAGTGACGATGGTAAGTTTTGGTAGGACTTGTGTGACCACTAATCACATTGGTTCCTGCCTTGAGTCTCTTGGAAGGCACGAAATGCTAGATATTTGCCTGTGGATTCTTAGCTTTTTTCCTTCTCCTCAGAGGTATCAGGTTGAATTTTCAGTGTAGACAGCAAAATCTGTCCATGATGCCAAGCCCTGTGCTGAATGTGCGGATGCAAAGATGGCCAAAATGGGTCCTTGCTCTCAAGAAGCTCATGTAGTCGTGGGGTGGGGGGGTGGGGCCCAACGGAAATCTAAAGGAAGAAGAGAATGAATCCAGGCCACAGGGTCGGCCTGAGCATCCCTGGAGGAGAAACAGGAGGGCTTGTGGAGGAACTGTAGTAGTTCAGTGTGGCTGTCTTAGAGGGAAGGCCAGGGACAGACAGGTGCAGAGGAGGAGGGGCGTGGGACCTAGGCCTGAGAGAGGGTGACCTTTTCTGATAGGCATTCAGGAGTCACTGACATGTTTTATTATTTTATTTATTTGTTGTTACTAGTTTATTTTTACCTTTGCGAAAGGCAGAGAGCAACCATCCATCTGCTGCTTTGCTCCCTAATGCCTTGCAACAGCCAGGGCTAGGCAGCCAGGAGCAAGAGCCCAGAACATCCGAGTCTCCAGTATGGGTCGTTGGAGCCCAAGAACTTGAGCCATCGTCTGCTGCTTCCTAGGACACATTAGCAGGGATTTAGATCAGACGCTGTGGAGGCCAGGATTTGAACCAACATTTCAGTACGTTTTACGGACACTCCAGGTGTTCACTTAATGTGCTGGGCCACAATGCCTACCTTTGAGGTGTTCTGGGCAGGTCAGATTGATGTTAGAATGCTTCTAGCAATAACTCTGAAAGGAGTTTGGGCTTTGTAATTGCCCCCGTCAGATAGGACAGTCTTACCTAGGGCGGAGGAAGGGAATGTGGTGCACATACATGGAAGGTAAAGTTAGTCGGCTCTGGGGACTGGCTGTGGAGGTGGCAGGGAAGTAAGAAGGATGGGTTGAATACATCCCTTATTTGTAGCTTGGATTGAGTTTTGGAAACCCAGGGGCACCATCTAGGTGGTACAAAATGGGGGTTATTTTGTTCCCAGAGTAAATGATGTTGCTAATGGGGAAGGCACAGAGGGTGGGAGTGGGGGGGGGATGTAGGAGGGGACCTGTGAGGGAGCTGAAAGGGAGCAGCAAGCATGCAGAGAGAATGAAGAAGGGTGTTGCTGCAGCTCAGGGAAGCTGACCTGAGCAGTATCCCAGAGACCCAGTGAGCCCAGTGTGGGGGAACCCACCCCCTCGGGGCGAGCGGAGGTTGTTGTGGCAGTGGTCACGTTGAATGCCATTCCTTCTAGCCTGCCACCCCTTCCTGTTCTCAGCCATTGCCCCATTGCTAGTGGACGGTTGGGCATGAGCCACGGAGGCTGGCATCCTCTGTGATCCCGTAGTCAGAAGTGTGGCTGGATCCCAGCTTGGTCTGAGACATCCTCCATGGACAGGTCCCAGCCCAGCAGGGAGCTGCAGGGACTCTGAGAGCAGCAGCCTTTTTGTGGTTTCTGCCCCTAATTCTCTCAAAGCAATATTGGTTGTCAGAGATGAACACTATGGATATTGTGTTATCTTCCTAACTTTCCAGACACACATACATAGAATACTGTATGTTTTTTTACTTCTTATAGTTTTTTTTTTTTTTTAAAGATTTATTTTTATTATTATTTTTTTTCATTGGAAAGGCAGATATACAGAGAGGAGAGACAGAGAGGAAGATCTTCCGTCCGATGATTCACTCCCCAAGTGAGCCGCAACGGTCGATGCTATGCCAATCTGAAGCCAGGAGCCTCTTTCGGGTCTCCCACGCGGGTGCAGGGTCCCAAAGCTTTGGGCCGTCCTCTGCTGCTTTCCCGGGCCACAGGCAGGGAGCTGGAAGGGAAGCGGGGCTGCCGGGATTAGAACCGGCGCCCATATGGGATCCCGGGCGTGCAAGGCGAGGACCTTAACCACTTGCGCCACCGCGCCGGGCCCACTTCTTATAGTTTTTAAAGGCTTGGTTACTTTCTAAAAGACTTACTATTATTTTTAAGGATTTATTTATTTTATTGGAAAGGCAGATGTACAGAGAGGAGAGACAGAGAGGAAAATCTTCCGTCTGATGATTCACTCCCCAAGTGAGCACAACGACCGTTGCTGCGCTGATTTGAAGCCAGGAGCTCTTCTGGGTCTCCCACATGGGTTCAGGGTCCCAAGGTTTTGGGCCATCCTTGACTGCTTTCCCAGGCCACAAGCAGGGAGCTGGATAAGAAGTGGAGCTGCTGGATTTAGAACCGGCATCCATATGGGATCCCAGTGCGTTCAAGGCAAGGACCTTAACCATTACGCTATCGTGCCGGGCCCAGTACAAAGACTTATTATTTGAAACATGGAGAGACAGTGATTGTTTCATTCCCCCCGTGGCCAAAACAAGGAGCAAAGCCAGGAGCCAGGAATTCCCCTGCCTATTCTTCCTTGTATTTGGGTGATAGGGGCCCAAGTATTTGCGCTGTCTTCTGCTGCTTTCCCAGGCACAAAAGCAGGGAACCAGCTCAGATGTGGAGTTGCTGGGACTCTCAACAAGGGCTCTTTGGGATGCCAGCATCACAGGCATTGGCTGTACCTGCTGTGCTACAACACTGGACTTCTTGTCACTTTAAGAAAAAAAATATTTTCAGTTGACGCATAATATATTCAATGAAATACACTCTTTGCAATTGTACATCTTAATGAAGAGTTACAGTTATGTGAACTGTAAAATTTTGATTCCTTCCTCATTTGGAGCCACAAATGAGTGGAAATGATTTTTGGCTGCATTTGGCTTTGTAATTGGAACAGATGTCCATGTGTTAGAGTTATAGTAGTGGTTGCGAGCCTGTCTGTTTCTCTTTCTTCATCCTGTTTGGTCATTTGGACTTGGCCAAGATAAAGGGAAAAGTTCTCTGCCTGGATTTGGGTGCTGAGGCTCCTGCCTGGACCCTAGCAATGGGGGCTTTCAGGAGTAGATGTTAATCATCTGCGTCAGCTTCCTTAGGCTTAGTATCCTGCACTGAGGCCAGACACAGTGGCAGCTGCCAGATCCCTGGAAGCGAGATGTGACTGAGCAGGAGTTGCAGAGGGACAGGCACCTGCTGCAAGCCTGCCCACCAGAGCTGTCCCTGGACTGGTGCCTATGAGAGCTCTGCTGTCTGGAGGGTATGAGGTCATCAGAGGCCTTGTTTCTGGGAATTATTGAGGGCCTCACATGGCTGGATGCAGTGTCTTATGGGATGCCTTAGAGGGATGGCTGGCCTTGATCACACCTGCTGAGGTGTGGATTTGTGTACCTTCCTCAAATACCAGGGAGGCTCTGCAGAAATACGGAGGGTATCGGTTTAGATTTCCAAAGATTGTCCTCACTCACTTGTAGCCTTCATAATTCTTATGGACTTTGCCTCACTTGATTTTTGATTTCCACTGAAAGCTGGTAGGCTGTGTCTCGGTCATATTGACTCAAGGGGAATCCAAGTGGGCACCTTTGTGCCTTAACTCTTGTTTCACAGTTGAAACAGTTAACAGTAAACACCTGTTAACTCAGGAGACACAGCCAGGGAAGTTTTTCTTACTTAGGCAGTAATGAGGTCTGAAGTGTGTGTGCTCCGCTGGCTCGAGTACCCGAAAGACACAGTTTGTTCCATGGGTCTCTGATGGGCTAGGGAGCGTGAGTTGTGAGTTTGTGGTTCTAGTTGGTTCCTGATGCCCTTTTCCCCAACTGGTCCTTTAAAAATGCATACGTAATTCTTAGTTCCGTGAGTGGGCTGATGTCACCTACATGCTGTCATAGTGTGACCTTGGGCTTGAGCATCACATCCTCTAAATCACGCTACGAGCGTGATTTAGTTGTGTGGAGCTGATGTGGCTGGAAAGCCTCACCAGAGTAACTGAATATTCTGCTCACCTTTCTAGAAGACCCGGGAAGTTCTGCCCCAGGTCCGTGATGTGCCATTTTTCTTCTTGCTGTACAAGTAAAGGAAAAACCCTAAGGGGTCAAGGACTTGTCTTTGGTGTCTGGAGGTGAGGTGATGCTTCCCTCCCAAGACATCCCCCATGGATAGCGGCACTGGCCAAGCTACTGGGCCAAGAAGCAGAGTGGAGGCTGTGAGCCAGTCTGCCTGGAGCAAGAAGTCTGGACAGGCCTCCCTACAACTCCAGGGAAGGGGCCTGCTGACCGTCCCATCCTCTTGGCGTTTGTCTCCCTTGGTACTCTGGAGGCCTGGCTGAGTTCACTTGCTATCCAGGATGAGCCCCGAATGTACAGAGCTGGCGCTAATTCAAGTGTCTATTTCCTCTTGCAGAGCCCTCTGAACAGCTGACCCCTGAGGAAGAGGCTGAGGAGACAGAGGCCTGGGCCAAGCCCCTGAGCCAGCTGTGGCAAAACCGGCCTCCCAACTTCGAGGCTGAAAAGGAGTTCAATGAGACCATGGCCCTGCAGGCCCCTCACTGCGCTGTGTGCATGATCTTCCAGACTTACCACCAGGTACTCCCATGCCCTTGCCTGGTAGTTGGAGGGAATCCACACTTCTCTGTGGCTCTGTCCCTGTCCCTAATGGCCTGACAAGAGTTGTTTTCTTGGTGTCCCCTGTTAATCTTTGCCAGGCAGATAACCAAGCAGTGTGTTTTAACTGCAAAACGTGTGGGACAGGAGGTGCGGACGTGGCTTAGCTCCCATGGCTCCTGCAGGAATCACAGGCCACACCATGTGCCCAGCAGTCTGCCTTTTTGTTATCAACCTGGCCCATGATTATCCCTGCCAGTCAGCCTGAAAAACTGTGATGGCTTTACTCCTGCCATCTGAAAGCTGGGCGAAGAGCCAGGTTCTCCAGTGTTGTTGTCGGCCGAATTTCTTTCCTGCCATGAGGGGTGTTGCCTGGAGCCGAAGGAGCTTGAGCTGGATTGGGGAAGGGGGGGGGAAGCTTGAATGCTGAGCTCGGCTATGTCCTTCCTCCCCATGTGGGGATTGAGGGCATCACCCATCATGGGTCTCTGGGTCCAGCTCTGGGAGGCCAAGAAGGCATTCACAGCAGCAGGTACCAGGGTACCATTGGGGCCTGTACACAGTGACAGGTAGGTAAGTGGTCCTGCCCTCGTGGTTAATGTGGCATGACTGCTGCTGAGCCTGGCAGGCCTGCAGGTTCTGCTTGCCAAAGATTGGAACCTCAGACCAACACATTTTGGATGAACAACTCACTGCTTCTTTCCATTGATGAAAAGCAAAAGCAAAGAGCTCTGTGTGCTGGGGCTGTGAATGGCCCAGTTATTGCCATTAGCACATCTGCTAAGTGGGTGGCAGACTTTCCGGGGAGCCACAGGCACAGGGGTATTTGTGGGCTATCCTGGGAATGGGGCTGATGGTGCCATCCAGTGGCAGAGCCAAGCAGGTACCTGAGTCAGTTTAGTTCTTCAGGGGGAATATGTGGCCATGATGTTCTGAGCCTGGACCCAGCAGTGGGACTACAGCTGTGCTGTGGTGCTGATAGGGACAGCTGAGGCAGACAGTGCTGGCCCAGTGGGAGCATGCACTTTGGGTGCTATACTGGAGCAGGGCGCAGGGCTGCTTATGTTTCCATGCATTTTATTACCATTTGGTTTGGGAAGATTGAAATCCCAGTGGCCTCTTACCTCGTTCTCTTTTCTCAGTCATTCCCTTGGGGCCATTGTTTGGTACTGCTGTGAGAAATTGAATTTGAGTCATTAGAGGTAACTTCAATTAGTAGCTGGGGATAATGGCCGTGCACCCGGGAGCCGTAGGCAGAGTCCTAGCAGTGAGGGAGTTGGCGCTCAGGCAGCTGGGGGAGCTTTGTACACAGGCTGTGCTCACTGTGCCATACGCTTGTCTTATCCTCTGCAGGTGGAGTTTGGAGGCCTTACTCAGAACTGTGTGAGTACACCTGATACAGCCCTGCAGAAGCAGAGGACCAAGCCATTGATTCCAGAAATGTGCTTCACCTCCACGGGATGCAGCACGGACATCAACCTTTCCACCCCTTACCTGGAGAAGGACGGCACCAGTCTCCTGGTTTCCTGCAAGAAGTGCAGTGTCCGGGTCCATGCCAGTGAGTGCCACACCTCTCTCTTGTGTGTCCTGGGCCTCCTTGCCACAAGGCCTTGTGAGCTGTTGGCCCCCATGCCTTCCCACTCCCCATGAAGGCTGCTTGTGTGTTCTTGGGGAGTTCGCTGCTGAATGGGTTGTTTCACTGAGAACTCCAGAGCCCATACTTGGCACCCAAGCCATTTGGAGCAGATGCTAGGAGGGGATTCGTTCCTGCTACTGTGTTGGTTGTTGATGAGCCCTGGGCTATCATCCTGTGAAGTTGAACACTAAGGACTCTGTAGAATTTAGGCTTTTCTGTAGACTGAGCTGTAGCTTTGGGAGGGGTTTTGAGGAAAGGAATTACAAATTCCTTCATGTTCCATCTCTGATTGCTGAGCTTACTGTGCTTGTCTTTGTGTTCGTATTAGGTTGCTATGGGGTGCCCCCTGCGAAAGCCTCTCAAGAATGGATGTGTTCCCGGTGTTCAGCCAATGCCCTGGAGGAGGTGAGTGCCTGCACACTGGTGATGTGCTGCCCTGCAGACTCACTGCAGACTCCAGCTCTGGCAGGGTGCACTTTCAGTTGTCTGTTGTCCCCTTAAGGGCTGGCACCTGATGGCATCAAGTGGCAAGTGTTGTGAGACTAGGTTTTTAACAATGAGAGTGCTTGCTGTATGCTTGGCACAGGGTGAGGGGGAGTATTGAAGCCAGGTCTGCCCCATGATGTGGTATAGGCTGTCTTGTCGAGTTGGCAGCCCCTGCAGAGGACTGGGCATTGGTTGTAGTCCCCCAGTGGGGCTCTGATGGTCCCTGTCATAGCTTTCTCTCCACTGTGCCCCTGGAACTTGCAGTGCCACCTTCAGGAAACAGGTAGAACCTTTGTGTGAGCAGAGCATTTCTTATTACTGACATCACTGTGGGGGATGAGGTCAAGTCCAAAAATACTTGGGGCATGTTCACTCTGGAAGATTCTGGTAACAGGAGCCATGCAGGAGAAGCCCTGCCTGCCTCGAATTGCCCAAAGGAAGTGAGGGGAGAAACAGATGGGGCGTTTGTGGCTCAGGGGTAACTGTTCTCTATTCCCCCTTCCCCGGTCAGAACTGCTGTTTATGTTCCCTTCGTGGAGGTGCCCTGCAGAGAGCCAACGATGACAGGTGAGTCTCCAAGTGTGTGCAGCAGCTGGTCTGGCCACGGACACTCCTGAGTGACTGGAGGAGCTGGAAAGTACATTGTGTGGAGCTGGAATCTTCTAGATGATTTTAAAATTGGCAGCCAAGAGGAGCATGGCAGTCCCAGACCTTTCAACACTGGTTTACTCTCCAAGGCAGAGGATAGTAGCATCTTCCTTTGTGGGGAACTGAAAATGGAGCCATGAGACTAGGAACTGTTATGAAGGTGACATAGACATTATGGGCTTGAAGTCAGGACAGTGACCTTGATCTAGCTGGTGCCAGCATGCAAAGGGAGCCCTGGCTGCATGCAGCACTCAGCCTATTGTTCAGTTGAGGTTGAGCATGTGCTTGGGCCAGTGGTTAGCCAAGGCTAGCTGTTCTGCTTCCTTGGAGTTAGCAACACACACACGCTCACACATACACACACCCTGCATCTCTGCTCCCAGGAGCCTGTTACACCTTCTAAGTGTGTGGCTCTGCTGGTGGATTCTGCTCCTTTAAAAGCACCTGCTGCCCTTGAGAAGCCCTGGTGTTGGGTGCACTTGTGATGTGCTCCTTTATTTGGGGAAGAAATGGCTCTTGTAGAGCCTCTACCTTCATCTTTCACTCTACTTTCTGTCCTGCACAAAATGAATCCCTTCCCATGCTGTGGGGTCACTTCTAGCACTGTGTGTGGTGGCCTGACTCTGAGCTTTCTCAAATAGGTGCCTGTCAGTTTTCCCAAGTGCCCAGAACCTACCTTCATCTGAAGGATGCCATTGGTCTAGTCTCTGCCTCTTACCCCTCCCCACCTATTTAAAAACATTAATTTGAAACATACAGTTAATAAGAAAAGGGAAAATTTGGGAGGGGGAGGAAGAAGGAGAGATATCTTCCATCTGCTGCTTTGTTCCCCAAATTGCTACAATGGCAAGGAATGAGTTAGAGTGGAGCCAGGAGCTTCTTCTGGGTCTCCCAATTTGATCCCAAGCACTTGAGCCATGCTGCATTGCTTTTCCAGGTCATTAACATAGAAATGGATTAGAAGTAGAGTAGCCAGGATTCAAACTGGTGCCCATATGGGATGCTAGTATTGCAGACAGCAGCTTTACCTGCTGTGCCACAGTGGCATATAAAGTGAGTTGAAGGGAGTGGTTGGCAGAGACTGGAGGGCGAGCAGTGATCCTGGCACGTGGCACACTTGGGCATTTTCAGGAAGTACCCAGGTCCTGTGTTGGAGGAGTTCTGCCGATTGCCATCCACTGAAGCCTCCTACACATCATCAGCTGTGGCTCTGGTCATTCTGCCTCCTGCTGAGGGAGTTGTGGGAAGTGGGTCCCTGTGTTGCCATAGGGCTCGGTGTGTCACTTCCAGCCCCTGACTGCATCCCAGGGTCCTGGGCAGTCTGATGGAAGTCGGAGATCATGCTGGATGCTGGGTGGTCACACTGTGAGGCCACATGAGAAGAGAAGGCTACAGGGCATTGATCCCAGAGGGGACTGAGGTGGACTTTGCCTCTTGGCAGGTGGGTCCACGTCTCATGTGCTGTGGCAATTCTGGAAGCGAGGTTTGTCAACATTTCAGAAAGAAGTCCTGTGGATGTGAGCAAAATCCCTCTGTCACGCTTCAAACTGGTAAGGAAAACAGGATGGCCTGTGCTTCTTGCCTTCTCCTGCTGCCACACTCTGTATACTCTGGCAGGCAGGGGACAGTGTTTTTGCTTGGCTCAGCAGCCACTTGTGTCCTCTGGCTTTGTTTGGAGTTGGTGATCTGTGTCCTGTGTTTTAGTAATGGGGTTAGTGCTAGCTGTCTGACTGGACTGTGTGCATTCGGGAGGGGACACCTTTGATAGGGCAGGCTGTCCTGTCAGTACCTGGACTCCCAATGCCTTTATTTCCTGTGCTGCAGAAATGTGTCTTCTGTAAGAAGCGGAGGAAAAGAGCTGCTGGCTGCTGTGTGCAGTGTTCGCATGGTCGTTGCCCGACTGCCTTCCATGTAAGCTGTGCCCAGGCTGCGGGTGTCATGATGCAGCCTGACGACTGGCCTTTCGTTGTCTTCATTACCTGTTTTCGGCACAAGATTCCAAATTTGGAGGTGAGGAGGGGGGCACACTCTAGTTAATTCATTTACTATTCCAGCGTAAACTCCCTGAGGACCCAGATCTTACCCTTCTGGGAATTGTCATAAGCTAAGTGCTGGTGACTTAGCAGAAGTTCTGGGAATGTTGAGGACTAAAGGGGAGGGCATGTGACATTTAGCAGTGAGCTGCAGTTCTCTAACTGGTGGGGCTCAGAGAAAGACACGTGTGCGTGTTAGCTAGAAGAGTTAGGAGTTTGGGTGGAAGGTAGCGTTTGGAGAGGGTTTTGAGCAATCAGGTTGGATTGTGAGCGGGAGGGCACCCAAGGCTACAGAAAGTTGTCGGAGCCCGAGCCGTGCAGACCGGGAGTGTGATGGGTTGGTGCTTGACAGTGAGCAGCACTAGGGTGACTGGAAGCCCTGAGCTGCCACACTGAGGGGTCTGATTTCTCTTCCACTGGACAAGAGTTTTGGGAAATTGATTTCAGACTGTATCTTTTTTTTTTTAAAGATTATATTTATGTGAAAGGCAGAGTGACAGAGAAAGTGAGACAAGAAGGTTCTAAATACCGTTTACTCTTCCAATGTCTGCAGATAACCAGGGCCAAGCCAGGCAAACCCAAGAACCTGTAACCTCAGCCAGGCCTCTGACATGGGCAGAGGAACTCAAGTGCTGAGTCATCATCTCTGCATATATTAGCAGCAAGCTAGAGTCAGGAATTCAACCTGCTGTTTAACCCAGATCCTCTGATGTGGGATGCAAATGACATAACTGCTAGGCTAACCGACTTCTATGGTTTAAAACAATCATTGCAGTCATTGCGGATTGGATTTGGAGAATCCAGTTATCCTTGGATAGAGGAAGGTCTGAAATGTGAACATGTAGGCAGAGCTCTTGGGTCACCTCTACCCCTGAGGATGTGTTCACTGCCATGGGGACAGGGACTAGAGAGAAGGGAGAGGGGAGGTAAGGGGTGAGGGAGCAGGAACTGAATTTGGCTCAGCTTACTCCCTTAACAATGAGCATGATAGTATGATGATGTTATTAACTGTAGACTGTAATTGAGATGGGGGGGGCAGGTGGTAGAAGGATGAAAATGAAAGGACATGTAAGCTTTGGGACCCCAGGAAGGAACTCTGCTTCCACAGCCAGTAGGCAGCGGGATTAGCTTTGATGGGGACGCTTGGATGTGACCAGCAATTATTATGACAGTCTAATTCCTTTTAGAAACTGGGCTCTGGAGGTCCCAACACTGCTGAGCAGATGCTGGAAGATGAACCCGTGCACAGAGTGCCATAGGTCAGCAGGGCAGCAGAAGGAACAGGGTGGCACAGCCATTAGGAAAGCTCAGTGTATCAGGATGAGAATCAGCTTGAGGCTTGGGGACGGCATGGTACCAGTAAGTTACCATTTGGATGCAAGAAACCGGTTTTCAGGCCACTGGGAAACTTTGGCCCCTGGCGGAGGAGCAGCAGGGTGGCAGCTGACTACTCTCCATTTGCTCAGTGAGCAAGGTCAGGACCCAGGAGGGTGAGGGGAGGATACCAGGGATGGCAGGGTTCTTGGGGAAGGGGGACAGTCTACTGCAGGCAGTTGAGGACACCCAGGAAGCAACATGAGGGTCCCTCAGGGTAAAGCTGCTGTGTGGTTGCTATGAAGCATTGCCTGGGGTCCAGGACCTCGGTCACTTGCAAAGTCTTCCCTTAGACACTTTCCTGTTGTCTAGGCTGTGTGCAGCAGGTGCTATGTAATCAGTTTTAGGGAAGTCCTAACAGTATTCAAGGAGTTTGGGATAAGGTTCTGTGCTGTGTATAAGGGCCAGCTGTAGCCAGGGAGGAAGGAGGAGAGCATGGCACTGGTTTCTTCAGGGTCCTGACTGGGTGTGCATGTCCTGAAAGGCCATTTGCCCTCTGCTTTCTGCTTCTGTACTCCTCAGTTTATTTTTCCATAATGGAGAGGAGCCCAGTGATTTGCTCCCCATTTGCAGGACTGTCAATTCTGTGTGTGAGTGACCAGTCTCTCCATCTTTTAGCGTGCCAAGGGGGCCTTGCAGAGCATCACTGCAGGACAGAAGGTCATCAGCAAGCATAAGAACGGGCGCTTCTACCAGTGTGAGGTGGTCAGGCTCACCACCGAGACTTTCTATGAAGTCAACTTTGATGATGGCTCCTTCAGCGACAACCTTTATCCTGAGGACATAGTGGTAATGTCTGCCAGGGGCCCCTGGGGCAGTTTAAGGAGAGTGTGGCTGGCAAACTGCCCATGATCTGCCTGCTTTTTATAGCCCATCCCTCTGTCCCCAGACAGCAGAGATCTGGTCTCTCTTTACAAAGTAGGATACTTCTCTCCTTGCCATAGAAGGCTGTGGGAATCAGTGTTTCCTGCAGTTTTCCTTGAAAACGTTCATCACTTTGAGTCTGCACTGTCTGTCCTTGCTGGCATCCTGGTGCCCCAGAAGAGCCCAGCCTTTGGATTCAAAGCAGGGTACCAGCTTCCTTTCCTAGCCGCTGGGTGATTATAGAACTGTCCTTCTCTCTACTCTCCTGTGCCTTCCTGGTCAATGCAGAATCTACTCTTAGGCTCTTCACAGTTGAGGGACTTGGGGCTCGGTAGAAACTGTGTGGGGACACTGCCGGCCTGCTCAGGTTATCAACACCTGAGACTCTGGAGCCCCTGCCTGGGCCCAATCCTAGGTTTCCTGGCTGAGTATCCAGGACTGAGTTCGCATTTCACCTCTCCCACCCTGCCTCTACAAGTGGTAGACTTAGCACCCAGGCAGAGGAATGGTTGTTTCTTTCCCTTAATAAAATCAGTATTTACTATGTTTATACCACATTAGAGGCTTAATTGCTGCCAACCGCCTTCCTTAGTTACAAAGTAGATGAATGTCATAATAAAAATGACATTAGTGGTTTTCATTAACATTTATCTCTTACAGTATACTTGTCTGTTAAATGTTTTATATCAGATAACTTCATATGTACATAAAGGACTGTTGATCTGAAAGGCAGAGTGAAACAGACAAGTGTGCAGCAGCTAGAACTGGGCCAGGCGAAAGCCAGCCAGGAAATCCTGGGCTCTCACGTAGAGGCAGGGACCGGGCAATCTGCTGCTTCTCAGGTGTGTTAGCATGAAGCTGGGCAGCTGGCAGACCAGTGCCCCAGTGGCTTAACCCATTGTACACAATACCCAGCCCTTTAGGTTATACAGCGGTAATGTCAAACTGTTTCTTCTAAAAAGCTAATGAGGGACCCAAAGTTTTTGTGTTTGCAGATTCTGTCTGCCATCAAATTAACAGATTTTTGATTTCATTTTTAGTATTGTTTACATAGTTCAGAGGGATAAACGCTCATGTGGACATCTGGACTAGAGTAGGGAGGGTCAGGTATGGAGGAAAGTGGGTGAGGCAGATGTTTCAGTTTTTTTTTTCTCTCCTGTGTCCTTTGCGTTATTTTTTTGGTAAAGTTTTATTTTTATTGGAAAGTCAGATATACAGAGAGGAAGATCATCTGTCCGCCAGTTCACTCCCCAAATGGCTGCAATGGTCAGAGCTGCACAGATCCAAAGCCAGGAGACTGGAGCCTCCTCCAGGTCTCTCATGCAGGTTCAGGTTCTCAAGGCTTTGTGCCATCCGCAACTGATTTCCCAGGCCACCCTAGCACCCATATGGGATCCTGGCATGTATAAGGCGAGTACTTTAGCCACTAGGCTACCATGCTGGGCCCCCTTCTGTGTTATGTTAGATTTACTTTATAATTACAGGCCTAATGCTCTACTAAATTAGAAGTTCAAGATGTTGTCAATTTCACACATAGTCCAAAATTTTATTTTGAAAGTTAGAAAGAAAGCTTTTTCCATTTACTGGCTCAGTGTCCAAATGGCCACAACTGCCTGTACTGGACCAGGCTAAAAAAAAGTTAGGATCCAGGAGCCTATAGGTCTCTCCCATATAGGTGGTAGTGTCCCAGACACTCTGGCCATCCGCCACTGCTTTTCCAGGCCAACAGCAAGGAGCTGGACACGAACCAGTGCCCACACAAAACAATGACATTGCAGATGATGGCTTACTGGTTATGCCATAGTAATATTCTTACGGTCTCTATAATAGCTACTGTAAATCAGAGCAAAAATGTGATATTTATCTTTTTGGGTGAGGCTTATTTCACTAAACATGCTTTCCCATTACATCCATTTTGTGTATATATTATGGTTGATTAGTATTCTGTGCTGCATATATACCAAGTTTTCTTTATCCATTCATCAGTTAATGGACATCTGGATAATTGCCTATCTTAGCTATTATGATTTGAGATGCTATAAACATGGGGGTATAAATGAGTCTCTACAGATTCCATTTCGTTTGGGTATATTCCCAGGAGTGGGAGAACTGGGCCACACAGTGGATCTGTTCTCATGGATCTCAGGAAATCTCCATAATGTCTTCCATAATGACTGGGTTAGTTTGCATTTCTGCAACAGCACATTAGGGTACTTTTCCCTGCACATCCTTGCCAGAATCTGTTTGTAATTTTTTGGATGATAGCCATTCTGACTGAGGTGAGGTAAAACCTCACTTTAGTTTATATTTGCATTTTCCTGATGGTCCAAAGTATCTTTTCATTTGTCACTTGACTATTTATAGTTCATACTTTGAAAAATGCCTGTTCATGTCCTTTACCCATTTTTTAACTAGACTGTTTTGTTGTTGCTTCTTAAGGTTTTTTTTTTTTAAAGATTTATTTTTTTATTGCAAAGTCAGGTATATAGGGGAGGAGAAGAGACAGAGAGGAAGATCTTCCATCCAATGATTCACTCCCTAAGTGACCTCAATGCCCGGTGCTGCACTGATCTGAAGCCAGGAGCCTCCTCCAGTTCCGCTATGCAGGTGCAAGGTCCCAAGGCTTTGGACCATTCTTGACTGCTTTCCCAGGCCACAGGCAGGGAGCTGGATGGGAAGTGGGGATGCCAGGATTAGAACTGGTGCCCATATGGGATCCTAGCATGTTCAAGGTGAGGACTTAAGCCGTTAGGCCTCTTGAGCTTAGTATAAGTCTGCTAATATTAATCTGTTTGAAACTAAAACTGAAATTAATTAAAAATCATTCCTGCTTTAATGAGAAAAAACTTTCTTAAAAGAACATCTAGTGAGCAGAGTGCCGTTGTCACTCATCTGGTCTGTTGTGATGTTTTGGTTAAAATCTAGGGGGAACATTTGGCCTCTTAACAGAGTTGTTTGAAAGGTGGGGAATACCTAACCTGTACCACAAGATTAACCCCAGCAATTTTTCATTCCTTCATCAGTGGCATTGTTCCATGAGACTGGGCTTTCTTTTTTCTACCCACAAATTATGAATGCACAGTGATGACGAATGCAGTAACAGCAGCGCTTGGGACCATTGTTTTAGAGAGTGCGCCGCTGCCAGCAGTTGTATCCAGCGAGGATTTTATGCTGTCACTGCAAATGTGCATGCAGGGACAAAGGCTAGTGTTTTTAATATTTGGAAAATAGTCATGACCCCAGTCACATGCTCCCCAGAAGTGTCCTGGAACCTCATTACAGACTTGTAAACCATCTGGGGATACCTTCTGTTAAAGGAGGTTAAGCTGAATTTCAGAAAACTGAAGTGCTTTGCCAAAGGTCATGTATGTATAAATCTCCCATGTCAGAATGAGGGGACAAAGTGCTTTTTCTGGTTTCATTGCAGGAGTCTTTCAAAATAAAGAAATACCTACTCGGGTGTGGTGTGGTAGCCTAGAGGCTAAAGTCCTCACCTTACATGTGCCAGGGTCCTATATGGATGCCACTTCTAATCCTGGCAACCCTGCTTCCCATTCAGTTCCCTGCCTATGGCCTGGGAAAGCAGTCGAGGATGGCCTTTGGGACCCTGCACCTGCGCAGGAGGCCCTGGAGGAGAAGCTGCTGGCTCCTGGCTTCAGATTGCCTCAGCTCTGATCATTGCAACCACTTGGGGAGTGAATCAGTGGATGGAAGATTCTCTCTCTCCTCCTCCTCTCTGTATATCCTCCTTTTCAATAAAAATAAATAAATCTTTACAAAGAGGGGGGGAAAAAAGATTACCTACTGTAGCCTACTGTGGAACTGTTTCTTCTCAGCACATGACCTAGCAGGACAGAACCAGAACCTAGGTCTGGCAGGATGGTTCAATGGCTAAGTCCTCACCCTGTAAGCACAAGGTTCCCCTATGGGTGCCATTCGTGTCCCGGCTGTTCTACTTCCTCACCCAACTCCCTGCTTGAGGCCTGGGAAAGCAGCCGAGGACGGCCTAAACCTTTGGGACCCAGAAGAGGTTCCTGGCTTCCAGATGGCCTCTGCTCCCACTGCTGTGGCCATTTGGGGAGTGAACCAGTGATTGGATCTTTGTCTCTGTCTCTCCTTTCTTTAGATATGATCTGCCTTTTCAATAAAAATAAATAAATCTTAAACAAAATTCAGAACCAGGACCTGTGCGTACTCTAATTGTCAGGTGGTGATTTGTGGGAACAGCTGTGACCCACAGGCTTGCCCTCTTGCATGGGTTGTTTTAGACCATGTCCTTAATGACCTTGGTGTCTCCCCACAAGAGCTTGCACTGAGCCAGTGACCTCCCACATCCTACCCAGCGCTGTGCTGGCCAGTACAGTGAGGAATTGCCCTGTGACACTCCTGGAAGCATGAAAGTTATGTGAATTTGCCAAGTCCCATGGTAGATGCTTCTTTCTTTTCTTTCCTGTATTTTATTAACATACTTCGTTTTTCTTTTAAGATCTATTTTTAGTAGAAAGGCAGGGTTTACAGACAGAAGGAGTGACAGAGAACCATCTTCTATCTATAGATTTACTCCCCAGAAGGCTGCAAATGCAGGAGCTAGGCCATTTCAAAGCTGAGAGTCAGGAGATTTCTCTGGGTCTTTCATGAGGGTGCAGAGGCTCAAGAACTTGGACCATTGTCCTCTGCTTTCCTAGGCTAATTAGCAGAGAGCTGGATCAGAAGTGGGGTGGCCAGGACATGAGCCAGTGCCCATATGGGATGCTTAGCCTACTTTGCCACAATGCTGGTTGGTTCTAAGAACACATTTCATCAACCATCATTGCGTTCAGTTCTAGCATTCTTTCATAGAGAGGCCTGGAACACCGTTGGAGAGCAAGTGAGTGAGAAGGACTACAGATTCCCACCCTTGCCTCTTCTCCCTCTTGTAGCTGCTGGATTTTGTTAGCTAGAAGAGCAGGATACAGGACAGACTTTGTCACAGCAAGCAGATCTTTCTTCTAATATTTACTAATTTTTATTGGAAAGGAAGATTTGCAGAGAGAAGGAGAGACAAAGCTCTTTCATCTGCTGGTTCACTCCCCAAGTGGCTGCAGTGGCCAGAGCTGAGCGGATCTGAAACCAGGAGCTTCCTCTCGGTCTCCCACATGGATCCAGGGTCCCAAGGCTTTGGGCCATCCTCTTCTGCTTCCCCATGCCACAAGCAGGGAGTTGGAAGTGGAACCACCAGGATATGAACCAACAACCTCTGAGATGCTGGCACTTGGATGTGGAAGATTTGTCTGTAGATTTGTCTGTCTTAGGCCACTGTGCTGGCCTAAGCAAGCAGAACTTAACTGGTCAATCTGTCATCCTGTAGTGTGCTGCCTTTCAGGGAGTGTCTTAGCATGAATTTGTCCTTGTTTATTACCTCAGCAGATGGAAGTTTCCATTGCACTCAGGAGAGCCTGCTTATCATTCCTTTCTTCCTGTTTCCTCCAGAGCCAGGACTGTCTCCAGTTGGGTCCTCCTGCTGAGGGGGAAGTGGTCCAAGTGAGATGGACAGATGGCCAAGTCTACGGAGCTAAGTTTGTGACCTCCCACCCCATCCAGATGTATCAGGTAGGCACAGGTTCCTGTCAGGGGTTTGGGTTTGCATGGTTAATTTGGTGCTTCCTCATGGGACAGAGGAAGTCTTTGCTTAGGAGAATTAATGGGCTGGTGATGGCCCTTCCAAAGATGAGGTCAACCTGGTATGGCTTCAGACACAGCAGGCCTTCAGTGTTCCAAATATTTGGCTGCAAGAGGTTGTCACTACACAGGGTAAACCAAAAAGAAAGGGGCATCCTAGCGCAGAGACGTTTGTTTTCTTGGCAGGTGGAGTTTGAAGATGGCTCCCAGCTTGTGGTCAAGAGAGATGACGTGTACACGCTGGATGAAGAGCTTCCCAAGAGAGTCAAGTCTAGACTGGTGAGTGTGTGCTCTAAGTGCCCTGTGTCCCTTGTTCTTGCCTCTGGGCGGTAGTTGGCCACAAAGTGATGATTTGGCTTGCCTGTTCTTCTGTAGTCTGTGGCCTCCGATATGCGATTCAACGAGATTTTCACAGAGAAAGAGGTAAAGCAAGAGAAGAAGCGGCAACGGGTTATCAACTCCAGGTACCGGGAAGATTATATTGAGCCTGCGCTATACCGAGCCATCATGGAGTAGATGCTCCTAAGGGTCCAGAGATTCCCAGCCATGGAGGCAAGAGCACTCAGGGGCCAATGCACAGCAGATACTTGGGACTCGGAAGGCTCTGCGAGTGAAGTTGTAAAAAGAAACAGGAATGGACTAGTTGATTGATCCCAGCATCATGTCCCCCCCGCTCTCCTGGAATTCCACAGTAGTGAAAAGAATAAGTCGTCCCTGGACACAAGTGGCAGCAGCCTGTGGTCTCCCACCCGAGGAGCTGAGCACTGGAACACTGTGGCTGCACTGATCCGAGCCCACAGAACGGGCTGTCCATGCAGACTGGGCTGGTGGCCCTACTCTCAGCCTGGGACTTAGCTTCGTTCCCACTGAGCACCTGCTCCAACCAGGCAGAGGTGCTGGTACTTGTCCCCAACCCCTTTTGTATTTATGTGTGTGCGTGACATGCACACAGCGTGTGTCTGTGTGTTTGGTCTGGACCAGCTTGTGCCAGCCCCCTGGCCTTTACTTTTCTTCCTTGCCTATGCAGGGCAAACAAAATGTGAACTTTGGCCCTCAACTGAGCTGAGGGAGGGCCTCTGGGATTGGCTGGAGGTGGATGTGGTGTCTCTCCAGGCTGGCTCAGCTGCATTAGTGATGCGCAGAAGTCACCCTGCCTCTCTTCCCTTGAGGGGAATCCCAGAGCTGTTGGGGTGTGTCCTCGCTATCCTAGGCAGAGCCCCTGTGGCACAGTGTTAGAGGGTCTGTGTGCAGGATACTCTGAGGGGGGATATTAATGATGGAAGCAGGCAGAGCCTGGTGGGTGATTCAACAGAATTGCAATCATGTAGGGATTAGGAGGGTTAGGATGAATCGGGGTCACTGGAGGCCAGGGACAGATGTAGATGTGACCTTGGCTTGGGGATGGGAGGGAGCTGAATTGGGGGTGTGGGGTGGGAGTAGAGCGCAACACCGAAGGGATTGAACCAGGTTTTTGCTCCTCATACATTTGTTTGCCTGTGCCCAGGACTGGAGGGCTTCACACTGATACCTGATGTATACAAGAATCAAATTTATAATACGTTCCCCTTTTTTGTTACGTATGAACGCTATAAACCAAATTATTTTGAAAACCTTAGCAATAAAATGTGTTGAGTAGAGGCTTGGCTGTGTCTGCCCGCAGGGGCCCAAAGGGCCCAGGGTCAGGCTCGCGTTGGAGCCTAAGTCACAGGCTCTGGAGACAGGGCCCAGAAGGCCGTTCAGGACACATCTCTGCTCTCTCTGCCTTGGTGGATCCTGGTGGAGTCAGATTGTCCCATCCTCTGTGTGAAGCTGGTCTGAAAGGGGCAAGTGTGCCCCCACCACGGGCGTTCCTGAGGCACTGCCTGTAGTTGGTGAGAAATGAGGAAGACTCACCAGGGTGGAGGATCGTGGGGTACAGCCAGGCCCTCCATGGGGCCTGCTTGGCCTATCCAGGTGAGGTCGGGGGAGAGCATGTTTCCTAGAAACTTTGGACTTATTAACACTGGTCGACTGACTGGAAACTCGGTGACTTTCCAGCACACAAAAACAGCTTGCTCAGTTTGTCCAGGCCTGCTTTAGGCCCCTCCAAGAAGTCACTGTCCAGAGCCACCTACCGGCCTTAGCTAACAAGAGTCTTTGGGTTGGTGGTAAGTTGCCCCTGTCTTCATAAAAGTTGAAGTTTTAAGTTGTTCCCTAAATGCCTCCTCACAGTGGGGATGTTAACAGCTGGATCCCCAGAGTAGGCAGGTGGGTGGGTCCTATGTGCTAAGAGGCTCTAAAGTTGCCAACATGACCTGGGCCTCAGTTACCCCAGTGGAGCTTCAAAAGCTGGGGACAACTGGCTGTGCTCAAGTTGCGGAGATCTGCCTTTTCCGAGGATTCACCCGGGCGAGCGGCACTTGGCGCTCCCTCGCGCCCTAGGGTCGGGAAGGCAGAGAGGAGTGTTCCTTTGGGTAGCAGTATGGGCCGGAGAGGACGTGGCGAGGGCGTTGGCACTCAGGCTAGGCACCCAGGCCAGCGCACCCTCCGCAGCCCGGGACCCGCTGGGCGTGTAGCCTTGGAAACTCTGGGTTCCTTGCTTATTGGGTGGCCCCGGCCTGTTCCCGCCCATTGCCGCAGCGCATCTTTGCATTGGCCGGCGCGGCGCCCCGCCCGGGTCCCGCGCGCTCATTGGCGGTGGAGGCCCGACCCCCTGCTAGAGAGCCGAGGCGGAGAGCAGGATTGGTGGTCCAGCCGTCCCCGGGTCGCAGCCGTGCGCCCCGCCCGCCGCTGCGTCCCCACTATGGCGGCGCCCATGCAGCCCACCGCGTCGTGGGCGCCCGCCGGGGTCCCCCGCGGCTGCAGCCGCCGTCTGCACCGTCACCTGCGCCTTCAAGCCCCGCGTGGGGCCGGGCGCCGCCTTCCCCTGCCTCTCTCTGTGCTGCGGTAAGGGCCTGCCCCACGCGCTCCGGGGCGCCACGGCCGCGGCTAACGGTCGCCGCGCCACTCCTTCACCGGCTGCGGCCCCGGGCAGGGCGCGGCGACTGCGCGCCTGTGCTGGGGACCGCGAGGTTGGGGCACAGCTGCGGGCTATCCTGGACTGGGATCCGGACCCCCTGAGCGACCTGGGTGGGGGGCCGCTGGCCTGGGTGCCAGGGGAAGGCCGAGTGCTCGCAGGCCGGGCGCTCTGAGGTCACCTGCGTGCAGGACCTGGAGGCTATGAGCACCGTGGCGTGGAGGAACGACGCAGTGGTTGGGGCCGTGGAGGGAAGAGGGAAAAGTGTACGCAGCGCTAGAGTCGGGTCAGTGCTCACTGCCCTACGGACGGCGAGATCCACAGAAACGTCCCAAGTTGGCAAAGTACCGCCTTGCTTTCTGCCCTTCTGGCACTTTCTCCCCTATTGCCTGCAGTCTTGCTGGAGAAAGTGGCTTAGCGGGGAGGGCGAGTTTGGCTGGGAGCGAATCGGATGAAGAAGGTGTTGTGTTCTTTCTGTTCAACAGCTCCCTGTTTACGGTCTCCTCAATAAACCTCACTTTTGTTTGAGTTTCTCTTACATAATGAGAGATGAAACGTGAGACTGCGTCATCCATCCTAACTAATTGAGGAAGGGATCCATGAGAGGCAGCTGTTACCCCGAGCGGAAACAATGCCAACTTCCCTATGACTCTGCTTTGAATCCTGTGTATTGTATAGTGGGCTGTGCTGGGGGTGGGGGAAGCAGACCACAAAACCACTCATTAGGTTACTGACATAGAAGGGTCCTCCGGACAAGGCAGCAGTTCCCCTTGCAGTGAGGAGCATCACCGCGCCAAAAGTCAGGGGTGAGTGGAGTATGCTTTCTGCCAGGGGCCACTTGGTTATTTATAGCGCTGTTCCAGGGCCACAGGCAACTCTCCACCTGATGATAGTTAAGTTTCTTGGCTTTCCCACGTCTTGCCTGCAGCTTTCTTTAGCACCCAAAACCCATGACTTGAAGGCCCTTGAAGCCAGTGTGCTGTATGTTCCCCACCCCTGCCTGGCCTGCACGATTAGAAGGAAAAACTGGCATGAAAATTTACCCCTAAATGGTATTTTTTCACATAATTTCGTAAGGCAACAGCAGCTGCTTAAGATGAGGGTTTTTTCAGGTTATTTAAAGTATTAAGTGGAGAATCCATTTTTTGCAAATCTAAGTGTCTTAACTGTGGTGAATACAGTAAATTATTAACGATGAAACAAGGCATGTGTATTCTTGGGAGATTCATCCAGTCTGAATCAATCAGCTGGGTTATCTGTGGAGTACAGATCTTATGTAAGGCAGGGGCTGAGGAGAGCCGGAAAACATTCAGCACAGGAAGTGCCCAATGAATGTGTGAAAGTTGTGGGGATGCTGACTGATGATGCAGTCTCTGGAGCGCAAGGTGAGAGATGCTGGAGGAATTGCGTTTGAGGAAGAGTCATTGGTGGAGCCCAAGCTCAGCTGAGGGAGGAGACAGAGCTTGAGTGCATCCAGGGTTTTGCTGGAGGTCAGGTTGCACAAAAGTGGCCTGGCTCATGGGTGGAGCTCAGGTGAGGGCGCAGGAGTGCTCCTTTCCCCAGGGGAGAGAAAGCATGGACTCTACAGGTGCCACTGTCCCATTCCCGATGGGCATCAGCTGTTGGAGATAGCAGTTCTTTCAGTTGCCGTGTTCTTCCCCTCAGGTTTGTTCTTTTCTGTGTCTGGCTGGTTGCTATATCTTGCTGCTGCTTCTGCCAACCTGTCTTATCATCTGCTGCTTTGCACCCCTTCACTGACTGCACTGCTTTGGGGGCGTTGGTACAACTCGCATGCATTCTCCCAAGAAAGTCCCTAATATTTGGATCTCCTTCCTGTCTCAGTGTGTAAAGTGCTGTTACGTCTGACCTTTAGGAGTCCCGCCCTGTTGAGTTTGGCACAGAGCATCTGGCATGGGCAAGTGGAAGGTCGCATTTAAAGGTTACATCTCAATACAGCCCATGCCTCTTATTCACATTTCACGGGACAAAGCAAGTCCCAAGGTGATGCTTAACTTTAAAGGATAGAGAAATGCAATCTTGCTAATGCCTGGAAAGCAGAGAATCAGGCATACTTGGGGAGCAGCACTAATGTTCACTGTATTACCACTGGGCCTCACATCTTGTGGACGACCCAGGCACCATGTCGGGGGCACTGCGAGACACAAGGGTGGGTTGGATTCACGGTTCCTCTGGGTGCTTGGGAATGTTGCTCTGAACCAGGTACCGTGCACAGCACTACGCGTGACCTGACAGCCTAGGCTGCCGATACAAGGACAATCTGTAACATCTCAGTTATAGATTGCTATCCCTGGGGGCACCAACTATTTTATAGCATCTTTAGTAATGCACGTAGGGATGGTCCTGAGGTCTTAAAAAAGAAGTTACAGTCAAGGTATTCAATTTAAGAAGTCAAGAAGTGTGCAATAATTTGAGGTGTATTTTTCACTCAGGTGGTTCAAACAGAGTCTCACTTGAAGCTCTCAGTTGTAATTGGCTTTAGTGGAAGTTAGTAAGCAGTGTTTGGGGAGGAGATGTCCTTGTGGACCAGGAGCACAGAGTACTGGTGGGAGCATGATGGGGCCAAGACAGTAAGATACTGAGCACCTGTGTTCTTGAACCTGCTGTATCCCGTCAGTTGAATGAGTTACTTCCCATCCAGTGCTTTGCACACTCGTGGGTGGCAGCAGTGGCAGGGTTTGAAGAAGCTTGAATGAGTCGGGTAAGGAAGCCCCAGAGATGTTAGCGGGCAGGTTCCTCCAGACTGTCTTACCTTCCCCCAGCCTCCATGGATGACATTCTAAATACACCTGCCTTACTTGCACAGTATGATTTAGATGTGTATGTGTATTTTGTTTGTTTTGTTTAAAAAAATTTTTTTTTAATTGGGAAGGCAAACTTACCAAGAGAAGGAGAGAGAGAAAGATCTTCCATCTGCTGGTTCACTCCCCAGGTGGCCACGATGGCCAGAGCAGAGCAGAGCTGAGCCAGTCTGAAGCCATGAGCCAGGAGCTTCTTTGGGGGCTTCCTGCGCAGATACAGGGTCCTAATGCTTTGGCCATCTTCCTCTGACTTAAAATTGTTGTGGAAAATTGTTTTAAACTCAGAGGTGCTCTGAAAGGGTCTTGGATCCTTGGAGCACACCATTTTGTGTGATGTGCTTCTGTTTTTTTGGGGACAAGTCAGCTTGAGGATGGAAACATTTGCAGGCATCCATTTTCAGAATACACTCAACAGAGCTGCTTTTTCTGAACAGCTGGTTTCTAGCTTTTGTTAAAATGCCTCCTGGGTCTGGGGAGGGTAGTTGTGTGCTCTTGTGGGCTTTCTGCCAGCTTGCGTGCTGCTTTCAGATACCAGCCTTCCCAGGGGCCTGCAGGACTGGTGGCAATTTAGTTAAGAGAGAATGAGCGAGTTATCTTCCATCCACTGGTTCACTCCCCTGAGGGCCACAGAGCCAGATCTCCCATATGGGTGCCGTGGGTCAAAACACTTGTGCCAGTTACTGCTGCTTTCCTGAGGCTGTTCGCAGGGAGAAGTGGTTTGAGTTCGGCTTCTGCACTTCTGATGCAGTGACCTCTGCAGTCTCTGATGCTGATGACAGGCACCTGCCGGACTGCTCTGTGGGAGTCTGCCTTGGCTGCATCA